GAGACTATCTCAGAAAAGGATGGCTATACCATTCACTCTCAATCCAGGAGATTGGATCAATGGGCAGAACACTTCAGGGATCAATTCAATTGACCTTCAGCCACCCTTCGCTTGCCCCGACCGAAGCTGCTACCTTGACATGGTGGTCGGGCTTGCCTATCGTGATGACCCAACCGAGCTATACTGGCTGGAACATATGTTCCTGCAGGTCCTACCATGCCAGACAGGTCGATTGGAGAACGATGAGACTAAAAGCAGCTACCCAAGGTCTGAGGGCGAAGTCGTACTGCTGACTGCAGAGGGGTGTGACAGCAGTAAGTTGTTTCCCTCAGACAACCAGCATCTGCAGCGATGCTGCCTTCTCACTAGGAAGGAAGGGTTAGAAAAGGTCGACCCTAAAAATGTCACACCTACCCTACCTCACGGATTTCTGTCTCCTTGGGTAAGGGTGCCCACTAAGGGCCTTTAAGAACGGAGCTAACACTCAAAAAACCTTTCATAATGGCCGTGCGTGACCGGCCTCAAGCAGTTGTCCCTTGGACTCTGCGGTCACGCACACAGGTGTCCAAGACCAACACTAATCCATCTTCCTTTTCAGGTTCCTCAAGAAACAACCTTCCACGGTGTGGGCAGCCGGGAAGTGACAACCGCCCTCATACCCGTAACAGCACACGAGACCAAATTGGTCAAAATCAAATCCTTTCTACACCCCCTAATGTCTCTCTTATCTCTACGACTAACTCTTCTCACACTCCCTTTTCTCACTGCACCTCTAGTGCAGACGAAGCGAGATCACGAAACGTCGTTCCTGGTCTCCTTAAACCTCGCTCTAGACTACATGTTGGAGCTTTTAATGTACGGACATTGTGTCAAATAGGGCAACAGGCATCATTAGCTAGGACTTTAGAAACTCGTGCCATCGATGTATGCTGCGTCTCGGAAACGCGCATACAGGATCCTAGTAAAGTCATTAACCTGATTCCACCTTGTCAAAACGAAGAAGCAGCCCGATTCACTCTTCGTGTATCTGGAAGCCCTGATGCGGCTTCCAGGGGTCTTGCTGGCGTAGGCATAGCGTTGAGTCCTAGGGCAGAATTATCTACAAAACAAAGTTCGTCGAGGCAGTCGGTGGTTCGGCATACGCACGATATGTCCTAACCACCTCAACTGAGGAAGTTTCACCACTTCATCAATTGATCTGCCATCCTTACCTAGTACTCGTTTCCTAACGACAGCATTGCTTACTCGGTTGTCCCACGGTATACGAGCAATGCTTCGAAGACACCTATGATCGTAAACCAGTAACCTACGAATATCTTCTGCTCTCACTGGACATGTTTCACAGCCATAAAGTAAGACGGAGCGAACTGCTGCACAGTGCACTCGTCCTTTGATTAGAGAACGGATGTCACGCCTACGCCACAAGTGACGCAGGTTGGCAAAAGCCAATCGAGCCTTCTGTATCCGAGCTGAGATTTCGTCAGTCACCAGGCCATCGGCACTGATGAGACTCCCAAGATAAGTGAAGCGGTCTACACGCTCGACTACTTCACTCCCTATCACTAGTTCACGTGCCGATTCAACCCAGTCTTGAAGCAACATTTTGCATTTCGAGGGTGAGAACCTCATCCCGAACATGCTTGCTTTGTTGCTTAGGGTAGTCAGAAGACTCTGCATTTTGTCAGCATCTTCACCAAGTAGGACAATGTCATCGGCATATTCTAAGTCAATAAGCGAGCCACCTGGTAAAAGGTCTACTCCTGAAAATTCAGACGACGATAAGGTTATTTCTAGGAGCATGTCTATGATAAAATTAAACAAGAATGGAGAGAGTGGACATCCCTGACGGACACCACTTGATGTAGAGAATTCCGGTGACAGTTCGCCATAAGCCCTCACTCGACCAGTGGTGTTCGAGTAAAGGGCTTGTATACGGGTAATGTACTTCTTTGGTACACCTTTCAATGACAGACACTGCCACAGAACCTCACGATCCACAGAGTCAAATGCCGCCTTAAGGTCCAGGAAAACAACTATTGTAGGACGCCTAAATGTGTGTCTATGTTCCAGGACCTGTCGTAGTGTGAAGATGTGGTCTATACAACCACGTCCAGGTCGAAAACCAGCCTGGTTGTTTCTAGTCTGCTCTTTACGAGCTTTCGTTAAGCGTCGAAGTATTATTGAGGCCAATATTTTAGAAACTATATTAGTTAGACTTATTCCCCTGTAATTGTCACAAGAAGACTTTTGTCCTTTCTTATAGATTGGGACAATCAGCGATTGAGACCAGTCGGATGGGATTACGTCCAGTTCCCAGATTCTACCTACGATCTCAGTCAACCTAGCAGATAAAACTGGACCACCATCCTTAAATATCTCAGGGGTCAGTCTATCAGGACCTGCAGCTCGTCCTCGTTTCAGATTTCCTACCGCTTTCTCAACTTCATTAAGACTAGGGGGACTTAGGTCGATTTGCCATTCAGGATGACTGGAGATCGTAGGTAACCGAAGAGTGGCTCGTGGCCAGTTGAACTGATCTCTAAAGTGTTCTGCCCATCGGTCCAGTCTCCTGGATTGAGAATAAATAATAGTCCCGTCATTTTCTGAGATAGTCTCACTTACACTAGGATTCCTTATACCAGTTTGCTTGATAAGTCGGAAAAGTTGTCTACTGTTGCCTATTGCCGCTGCCTTTTCCATCGCTTTTGCCTTCGCCACCAACCACTGTTCACGGTCGTTACGTAGGCTTTTTATAAGTCTGCGCATAAGCTGACTACGCTATTCGTCATGTTCAGAGTCAGGTGGGATGCGTTTTCGAACATCCATCAGATCGGTGGATGTGACTGATATCCACGGCTTCATCTTAGCCTTATGGTTTACCTTACTAGCAGATATCACTGCTGTTTCCACAGCCTTCTTGATATCATTCCAACCTGACTCCGGATGGGAATCGCTTACATGGTTGCCTAACTCTCTTTCTAGTTCCTCCTGAAATATTTTCTTAGCTTGATTATCATCAAGTAAAGCCCTAAGAGGCTTCCTTACGGTGTCTTTCCTACGTCCAGTAAGCCTCAAACAAATACGCGCTCGCACTAGGGCATGATCTGAATCTAAACATGTGCCCCAGAACGAGCGACAGTCCTCTATCGAACCCCTCCATCGGTGGCTGATGGCGATGTGATCTAGTTGGGTCCAACGTTGAGACGACTTTGGAGGTCGGCAGGTCAAAAGATGCTTTTCCTTATGCCTAAAGTTGGTTTTTGCTAAGAATAGGCGGTTATCTGAGCATAGTTGCGACAGACGGTCACCATTGTCTGTTGTCTGAGCCGCGACACCATAACATCCACTTAGATGTCTTTCCTTTTCACCTAGTCTACCTACTTGAGAAGTAAAGTCACCAGCCATTATTACTATATCAGAGTGCCTAGCTTTTTTGAGGAGTACCGAAAGCTTTCTGTAAAACTCATATTTTACATCGTCTGCACTGCAGTCAGTGGGTCATAGGCAGATATGACGAAGAGGCAACAGCGAGTGTCCCTATCCTTACGAGTCCTTACTGTCCTGTTTAGTCGGACAGCGCACAAACGACTATCTACTGGGATCCAGTCTAGGAGAGATAATTCTGCCCTAGGACTCAACGCTATGCCTACGCCAGCAAGACCCCTGGAAGCCGCATCAGGGCTTCCAGATACACGAAGAGTGAATCGGGCTGCTTCTTCGTTTTGACAAGGTGGAATCAGGTTAATGACTTTACTAGGATCCTGTATGCGCGTTTCCGAGACGCAGCATACATCGATGGCACGAGTTTCTAAAGTCCTAGCTAATGATGCCTGTTGCCCTATTTGACACAATGTCCGTACATTAAAAGCTCCAACATGTAGTCTAGAGCGAGGTTTAAGGAGACCAGGAACGACGTTTCGTGATCTCGCTTCGTCTGCACTAGAGGTGCAGTGAGAAAAGGGAGTGTGAGAAGAGTTAGTCGTAGAGATAAGAGAGACATTAGGGGGTGTAGAAAGGATTTGATTTTGACCAATTTGGTCTCGTGTGCTGTTACGGGTATGAGGGCGGTTGTCACTTCCCGGCTGCCCACACCGTGGAAGGTTGTTTCTTGAGGAACCTGAAAAGGAAGATAGATTAGTGTTGGTCTTGGACACCTGTGTGCGTGACCGCAGAGTCCAAGGGACAACTGCTTGAGGCCGGTCACGCACGGCCATTATGAAAGGTTTTTTGAGTGTTAGCTCCGTTCTTAAAGGCCCTTAGTGGGCACCCTTACCCAAGGAGACAGAAATCCGTGAGGTAGGGTAGGTGTGACATTTTTAGGGTCGACCTTTTCTAACCCTTCCTTCCTAGTGAGAAGGCAGCATCGCTGCAGATGCTGGTTGTCTGAGGGAAACAACTTACTGCTGTCACACCCCTCTGCAGTCAGCAGTACGACTTCGCGCTCAGACCTTGGGTAGCTGCTTTTAGTCTCATCGTTCTCCAATCGACCTGTCTGGCATGGTAGGACCTGCAGGAACATATGTTCCAGCCAGTATAGCTCGGTTGGGTCATCACGATAGGCAAGTCCGACCACCACGTCAAGGTAGCAGCTACGGTCGGGTATTCACAATCATATACACTTACCCTGTAATGTCTGGGGCAATTTTACATTGGTTTTCAGGAGAACCATAGTGACTGGACACGTTTTACCATTACTACATGAACAGTTCGGCTCAATCCTGTGGTGCAACCACATAGGTACCTGTACCCTGGTGGACCATATGTATGTAATTACGTACGAAGTTTTAGGTTTTGATAGACTGACTGACTCCTTACCGTTTGCTTGGTAATCGTAATTATCATAATGTTGTCTGTATATATGGGTGTTGTAATTAAAATTTATGAATAACAGCGCTAATGATTGAACAAAAAGTGCATAAAATTTGTCTACATATTTTCTTTTCACTCCAATTCCTTACTTCTAATTACAGATATCTTTCATTAGCCCAGTGAGTTTTTCAATGGAGTCGGTTAAAGAGATAGGACCATCAAGTTTTCAACACTTCTTATCTCAGAGTATTGCCAGTTGGGATCCCGAACATCGACTGAACGAGGTGCCAGCCAGTAGCGACTGTCTCCTCCGAATAACCAAAGACTTACGTTCCATTTGCAAGTAAGTTGTATCAATAAGTATTCTCACTTCAGACAGCGATCCAGCCCCAGGAATATGTGTGGTGCCTGATAATGAGGATATGACGATAATATACGCATTGATCACAGGTCCCTTTGACACACCTTATGAAGGTGGTTTTTTCTTTTTCCTCATACGATGTCCACCCGAATATCCACTCCGGCCACCAAAGGTGAAATTGATGACTACTGGGAATGGTACTGTGAGATTTAATCCAAACTTTTATTCGAACGGAAAGGTAAGATTGATGCATGCAAATTAGTACCACTGAATCATTATTATCTTGTGTACAGAATGTTTTCTTAAACATATGAATCAGTTGGTGATTAGGCATGCGCAACACATGTCCCAACCACCTGTCATTCTTACCTAGTACCCGTTTCTTAACAACAACTGCATTGCTTAATCGGCTATCCCAGGATAATCGAGCAATGCTTCGAAGGCACCTATGATCGAATACTAATAACCTATGAATATCCTCAACTCTTACCGGTCATGTTTCGCATTCAGATAGTAGGACGGAGCGAACTACTGTGCAGTAGACTCGTCCTTTGGTTAGCAAACGGATATCTCGTCTACGCCATGAGTGACGAGGTTTGGTAAAAGCCAACCGAGCCTTCTGTATCCGTGCTGAGATTTCGTCACACGCCAGGTCATCAGCACTGTTGAGACTCCCAAGATAAGTGGAGCGGTCAATACGCTCAACTACTTCACTTCTTATCACTAGTTTAGGTGTCAACGCAACCCAATTCTGAAGCAACATTTTGCATTTCGACGGGGAGAATCGCATCCCGAACACGCTCGCATTGTTGCTCAGGGTAGTCAGAAGACTGCATTTTGTCAGCGTCTTCATCGAATAGAACTGTGTTATCGGCATATTCTAAATCAACAGGCGAGTCTCCTGGTGGAAGTTGCACCCCTGAAAAGTCGGACGAAGATAATGTTATATCTAAAAGCAGGTCTGTGACAAAATCAAACAAGAACGGATAGATTGAACAGTGGCGCTTCTGGGGGTCGCCTGGACTATAGATGTCTTTCCTTATGCTTAGAATTAATGTTCGCTAGGAATAGGCAGTTATCTGAGCATAGATGCAGCAGACGGCCGCCATTATTTTTTCGATCACTCGTGACACTGTAAGAGTCAACCTAGGTGTCTCTCCCTTACTCTTAGTCTACCTATGTGAGCACTGAAGTCACTAGCCACCATTGCTATATCAGAGAGCCTAAGTTTGTGAATTAGGTCCGAAAAGTTTTTTTGAAACTCATCTTTTACTTTGTTTGAACTGCAGTCAGTCTGAGCATAGACAGAGACAACGAAGAGGCAATGGCGAGTGTCCCTATCTTTCCGAGTCCTTACTGTCCCATTTAGTCGGACAGCACATAAGTGTTTATCTAGTGAAAATCAGTGAAGAGCTAGTTTTTCTGTAGAACTGAATGCCAAACGTACATCAGCGAGGCCACAGGAAGCACAAGTAGGTCTTCCAGATACACGAGGTGTATATCGGGACCGTTCTTTATTTTGAAAGTTGAGATCAAAGGGATAACTCTACTCGGATCCTGCATGCGCGTTTCAGATATGCAACACACCAATGGCGCGAGATCTTACAGTCCTAGCTAAGGAAGCCTGTTGTCCTTTTTGACACAATGTCCGAATAGTAAAAGTTTTAACCTGTAGTTTAGAACGGGGTTTCAGGAGACCAGGAATAACGTTTCGTGAACTCGAGTCGTTTGCATTAGCAGTGCAGGGTGATAAAAGTATGTAAGAACGGCGATTCGTGGAGATAAGGGAGATGTTAGGGGTTGTAGGAAGGATTTGACTGTGACCAGTTTGGTCTCGTGTGCTGTCACGGATGAGGCCAGATGTCACTTCCCGGTTGCCTACAACGTGGAAGAGTACTACTTCCTGAAGAACCTGAAGGAGGCAGATTAGCGTTGGTCTTAGAGACCTGGGAGCGTGACCGCGGTTCCGACGGACAACTGCTTAAGGCCGGTGGCACACTACCTTTTTATAGGAGGTTGACGTATTAGCTCTGCTCTTCAAATGGCCCTAACGCCAGAAACGGAAACCTGTGGGGTAAGTTGAGGTGTCACATATTTAGGGTCGAACTTTTCTAATCCCTTCCTTCCTTGTACGTAGGTAACATTGCTGCAGGACGCTGGTTGTCCGAGGGAAACAACTTACTTCTGTCACATCCCTCTGAGGTTAGCAGTACGACTTCGCCTTTAGACCTTAAGCGTTTGCTTTTATTCTTATTGTTCTCCAGTCGACCTGCTTGGCATCGTAGGATCTAAAGGAGCTTATGTCCCAGCGAATATAGCTAGGTTGGGTCATCACGTTAGGCAAGCCCGACCACCACGTTAAGGTAGCAGCTACGGTCGGGATAAAAAATAGTAGCTCAAATCTTCTAATAAGTTCCGTCGCTAAATTGATGTTTTATTGAAAAAAACGCCTCTAAATTTTTGTAAATGTAGTGAATCAGATTTCGTTTAATTAGCGGCTTCAAGCTCTCAGACTATTACTCATTTAAGACAAAGTGACGAATATCTCCTGATTTATGGTCTAATCGCTACCTCATACTTATGTGAGGTTGCGGCGGTATCTTGAGTTTCCTACCAATATTACTGGATATGTAATTTGTAGCTGAAAAGCACTTCAACTCTTTTGATGACAAAATTTTCTCATGCTTCTGTCCATTACATTATTTTATTCGGGGTGTAGTTAACATACAACTAGATACAAATAATTGTTAGCACAAACAACGAATTTCCAGTCACTATTTGAATACGAATGGTAAGCTTCGGTTTGTTTGAATGCGTTTTCTTACAACCGTAAATTAAAAAACAGCAATTCCATGATTTTGGAGTCCTTTGGTTTTGTATCATATTGACATATATATGATATTCACATAGTTAATGTTGTTGTAACAGTATTGCACCTGAATACTCAAATATATTTCCGTTCGATATGCATCGTAGATTTATTATGCTATTTACTCAATTTAGGAAATAGTATGGATCCAATCTGTAAAACATAACATAACTAATTCCGAACAATAACATAACCACTAGACTCTCAGAACCTTGGTGCACACGAGGTGGTTCGAACGTACGAACTGTTATTTGCTTTGCAAGTGACTCATATTATCTAAATAAATCTTATCGTAAATGATCCTCATCCAGCAAAATTCTCTTGTCATAAATTATTTGGACTCTATTCAATAAAAAAAGACTTGATTCATTTAGAATTTTTACTAATTAAATTTTACCTATCAAAATTTTCATAGGTTTGTCTTAGTGTTCTCGGTACTTGGCAGGGTCCCCAATGGACACCAGCACAAAGCCTATCATCAGTCTTGATATCTATTCAATCTCTGATGAATGACAAACCGTATTTTAATGAGCCCGGATTCATTACTGAACGTAACCCAGGCGATGCTCAACAATACAATGCAATAATTACACACGAAACTATTCGATGTGCAGTATGTGATGTGTTAGAGCGCCGTACAACATTTCCTCCGGATTTATACGCGGTAGTGGAATCTAGTTTTGAAGACTACTATGAATATTATATAAGCGTTTGTGAACGAAATATGCATTTATCAGGTCATCCAATGGTTGATCCATTCGAAGAAGGAAGAGGGAGATTCGATTATGCCAATCTATTAAAGCGTTTAAAGGCTTTAAACAGCAAACTGAAACAAAAACACCCTGGAACAGATGACACCGATGTGATAAGTATGTCAAAACAAAACAAATAACAATCTACACAGTCCTAACGATGAATTTTGGGATAGCTTCAACTGATTACTAATTCTGAACACGTGGGATTCAAAGTCTAGTTGGTTTTACTTTTATCACTTTTTCTTTCAAAGTATATGCTTTTTCACAAACTAATCATTTTTCTTGATCTATTCATCGTAATTTGATTAATTTTCACTTCCCTTCACAGTTGTATTTTCTCACTCTGTTGTCACTAATATTTAAGAAGTGCGTAACAATGTCAAACATGTGTATAACGTTCTAGAAATAGAGAACAAATAATGTGTACTCCATTTACCGAGAGAAACCTTATGATAGTTTTTATCAAATTTTCAGATGCAAGATTAGGTATGCTGGGAGTTGTTTAATTGTACTCTTGCTAATTGAGCGTAAACCGTACACTTTTTTAAACTATGGAATTGATGTACACTAATCCAATTACCAGGATATTTTTGAAAAACTAAAACAGCTTTAAAAAACTGAAAAGTCGATAGTAAATCAAGTTATTATTTACGACATAAACGTCTCATAAAAGGCAAGAAATATTAAAGTCCCCTTCAAAGATTCTTTTTGCAAAAATTAATTTACGACAGAATGGTTAACCTTTGATTCACCACTTTAATGCACTAGGATTGATTATTTCAATCTTGGGAACAGTTTTGTAGGTAGTGTATAAACATTTAAGGTTAGAATCTTTTGATTTGATAAATGCATATAAGTTTTTTACCAAATCATTTGACATTGGTTCAGAAACTGGAAGACTTGTATACAGTTCGCTTGTTTGTGTTATAATTTCTTTCACTTGTCCACCACCATTAAGACAACCTGTAACATAAAGTACAAACGATCAAACATTGTATATTTGGTATACTAATAATGATTATATAATCCAGGATTGGTAGATACGGCATGCAACTAACAAAGAACTACACTCAATAGTAAAATAGGGTTATATCAATTTGCTAGCTTAAATTTTGTTTCAGCTATTTCGATTTGCGCAACTCGATAGTGGTACTGGCTCTCACAATTAAGTTTCAATCCAGAATCCACGTGTTTACTGAGTTACAGTAAAATAATCTCATAGGAATACTGAGTTACTGTCTTGTAAACTATACTCACTAAAAAACATGGTTCCAGCTACACCTATGTTTAAACAGTCATGGTGGCCAAATGCTTGGTAAAAGTTTATAACACTACAACAGGGTTGAGTAAATTTTGGCGTAAATGGTTATACTATCAGTCAATCGATCATTCAACATAGACCCATATAACACGAGCAAAGTGAGACAGAATTAACAAAACGGATATCAAAGCAAAAAAGATATCAAACACGTCAGTAACAATGAAGGAGAATAAATAGTGGAGAATACGATTCGTCAAGGAGGGTAAAATCGAGGAGTTTGATACGTAGGAAAAGAATAGCGAATCATTCTTTGCCACTAAGACATTTACTTAACTGCTGAGTAGTTCAATAATAGAAGCAGTAGATCAAACTTGGATAAACAGACCTAAAACATGATTAGAATTACTTAATAAGTCTGTAAGTAATTAGATAGTGGATGTAAACTGGAAGAAGCGAAAAATGGAGAACAAATGCAAGATATGAGAGTAGTAAGGTAGTATCACCTACAAAGCTATATCTGTCTAAGGAAGAGACTGTTGTCACGAATTTCCTCTGAGCACACAAACGGGTTATAGCTCCGGATTTCTATAGCATCTGCTGTATATAGAAGGAAGGATTGCACCTTGTTAGGAGGCGGTGGAAGTATACGATCAATCACTCGAGATAAACCGGTTTTATTTACAAAATAACCTTTATCAATTGGGTGTGACAAGATAAAGGAATTCTCAATATGCGAATATACGGTATTAAAACGCATTAAGTGTATGCGAATGAGTTTATTATGTCATAAAGTAAGATACTTATTGCATATACTTAGAAAGGACTGCTACAGTGCTGAATTTTATTGTGAACTGTTAAGAACTTATCACAACTAGGATTGACTCACTCTTCAGTAGCTCGAGTTGGTCTCATAAAGACATATTATCGTATACGTAACAGCTAACAGACGATCTGGTGTTCAACCGTAGCGGCTTTTACAAAAAACTGAGGGATGTACGTATATTCAGATGAAGTAAGAGATGGTTAGACTTATTTATCAACGCTAAATTTAATAGAAGTAATCCACGGAAACATTTGACTAACCTCTTGGACATGCCATCACCTCTACATAATCAAACGGATAGTAAGCTCTTATTTGTCTGGACCTCATTTGATCTAGGTTATTGCATTTTTTAGATTGATACGTTTTCCGCAGATATTGAACGATTGTTTGGATATTGCGAAACCCGTTGGCTATCGCAAACACTAGCAGTGCTTTCTGTTCAATTTCAAGATGACGATAAGGGGTTCGATTTGAAAGAGATGAGAGTAGAGATTGCGCCAAACTACGGTCTTCTTTCGAATTGAACAAGATTATTTCCTTGAAAATAAAATCGGATAGGTGAGCCAACGGTGGAGAGAATAACCCGATGTGAATATTTAGCCAACAACAGATAAAAACTAGGATAAAAGCATGTCGATTAACGACTTCTGTTTGAATATTTAATGCAGCTTACCAAACATCTGTACTTACTCCTGAGGCATGGATAGCCGACTAATTATCTTCAACCTACTCTGCCACGAGCTTTCCCTTCCAGTTATTCCCAGTCGCTATTCACCCCTTTTCTATACGTCGCCAATTCTCGGTGCAATGTGTTCTAATGGTCCACCTCTTCTTTTTGGCCTTGGGGATTCTTAATCACAGCTTGTTTCGTGATACAGTTTGGCGACTTCCGCAATGTGTGTCCTGCCTAAATCCAGCACTTTTCCTGATTGCTTCCTCAGCTGGAATCTGGTTTCTCCTCTACCGCAGCAAGTTGTTGCTAACAGCGTTTGGCCAACGGATCAGCAGTATCTTGAGTAGACGGCTGTTAGTAAAATCCTGTATCTTTTGGATGATAGCCTTCGTAGTTATCTAAGTTTCCGTTCCACACAATAAAGCCATCTTGACGTTTGTATTGAAAATTCTAACTTTGGTGTTGGCTGATAGTCATTTAGAGTTTCAGTTGTTCTCCAACTGTGGAAATGCTAACCTTGATTTACCGATCCGTGTCTGTACAACTGCATCAGATCCACCTTGTTTATCAATTATGCTGCTCAGGTATCTAAAGGTTACTACATCTTCCAAAGCTTCTTCGTCAAGTGTGATTGGGTTGATGCATGTCTTGTTTTATCGGAGGATCTTGCTTCTTCCTTTGTGTATGCTGAAACCTACTGCATCAGAGGCTGCTTCTACACTAGCCATCTGCATTTTTGCTGCGGAATAGACAAACTAGATCATCTGCGAAGTTCAAGTCGTCTAGATGCAGCTTAGCTACCCATTATATTCTGTTCTTCCCCTGAGATGAGATGTTGAGGCCTTCATAATGTAGTCAACCACTGACACAAGGAGAAAGGGTGAGAGTGAGCAGCCTTGTCTGACAACAGTTTTCGCTTGGAGCGAGTCTGTGAACTGTTCTCTATGCACGATTTTGCAGTTTAATCTATCGCGAGAATGCCTTATGGTGTCGAATACCTACTCAGGTACGCCATAGTGTCGAAGAAGTCTCTGTAATGTCATCCTATTCACGCTGTCAACTGCCTTCTCTTAGTCAAGGAAATTGATGTATAATGGTGTATTCCATTCAGTCGGTTGTTCCACAACGACCCGTAGTGTCGCGATTTATCTTTACGGGACGCAGCTTGCTGATCTTAAAGTTGCGAATCTGTTCAACAACATCCCGCTGAATAGTTTTCCTGGTATTTATAGTTGAGTAATGCCTCTGTATTACTCACACTTGATAAGATCTTTCTTTTCTTCTTTCCAGTTTGTTAGTACTTGATCTTCCTAATCTTATAGAACAGTGTAAAACATCTCCTCAGTTACTGTTATGTCTGTTTTCAACGCCTCAGCTGTTATTTTGCCTGGTCCTCCTGTTTTGCCACTTGATTTGTTTGATGGCCATACTAATTTCTTCAATTGTTGGTGGGTCAACATCAATTGGGATTTTCGTAAGTGCTGCTTCGATGTTCGATAGATTCAGTGGGATCGGTCTATTCAAGAATTCTTCCAAAATGTTCTGCCCACCTGTTACACTGTTGTTGAGTGTCGGTTTAGTCTGCCTTCCTTGTTTTCCACTTGTCGTTTTGGCTCACTATATTTTTCAGCAAGCTTTGTTGTATCCTATAGTTGTCTCATATTTCCTTCTCTTGCAGGTTTTTCTGTTAACTTCTTTCGGTCTTCCACATATTTTCGTCTATTAGCTCTAATGCTCCCCTTCGCTTACTTGTTCATTTCTGTATATTCGGCCTGTGACTGATATTGTTTGCTGTCTCCCTTTCTTGAATCTTATCCAGAGTATCGAAAAAGATCCATTTCTTAAGATAGTGCTTCTTCTGGCCCAAAAGCTCATGACATGCTAAAGTCCATGCTTCTTTAATTCTCCTCCAGTTGTTTTTCACCATGCATATGTAGATCTGCGTCAAAGTTTAAAGCCTTAGTAGTGGTTACAATATGTACAATGAATAGTAAGACAGTGGCCTAAGTAACGTAACAAATGATCCATGTCTAGATTATATAATTGAAAAATCTGTACTGAATATGATATCACTTAATGCAGGTGAACCGAAGAACAGCGACTAATTGACTTACTAAACAAATAAGATTGACAGTGACACCTTTTTGATGTTGGTCGATGTGTTTTAGGGAGGACGGATATACATATTATGCGAGACGAAAAACTACCAACTAACCTGAATATCTCGATTTTGTAGCTGACGGGTTAACACACGTTCGTCTTCTAATATATCAAGTTTTAATTTTATTGAAAATAGTCTTTCTGCTGCCATTTTAAAAATACATGCTGCGTACCCTCCAGAACCACTTCCACTATGTCTATACATAGGTAGCATTTCGTCGACTAAAAAAGGAAAGTGATCAAATCTAACGCTGGCTTTTTCCTTCGACATTTTCATATAAAATAGGTCATATAATCTGAAAAATAAGAAAGGTATTGGACGTTTAGTTGCTTGTTTCAATAGATCTAAGGACACCAAACTGTAGACCATTGAGGTCAATAATATATCCAAACGGATAGCATATTTTAGATTCAAAGTATTCGGAAAAGATATTGAGGATATCATTGTTAAACAAGTAAAAAATTAATCAACAATGAGATTGAAATCGCAATTAACTATGAGTATATCAACCAAGTTTTTAAGTAACCTTTGAGTTTTATATGGACGAATAATAAGACACACAGGTCACTGGTTAATATTATTTAGGATCTATCAGGAAGACTAGATCCAATGTGACAGCATAGACATTCTTCTCAATCAAATAAACACGGTCGGGAACAATAATTTCTTGTTAAAAAAGATTTTAGATTAGAATTTCTGCCTAGCATACAGTGGATCTCAAATGTTGAAAGTGAGCATGGTTGGTCTGACAATACATATTTTGATTTATTGTGAATTTAAAATATTTGTTACAACTGAATACGTCAAAGCTGTTTGTAAATAGCTTATTAACATAAACTGAAAATAGATATATAATTAGCACTTAAACAACAGAAACATGAAGTTCAGCAAAGAGACCTATCTTTAACGAATTTATTATCGAGCTGTATTAATTAAAAAAGCTTCTTGATAATATGAAGGATGAAGCACCATAATAGGCTTTTAAAACGTCATAAAATGTATGTTATAAAAGCTTCAGATTTAAACAAAAAGGTGACCAAGTATTTTGTGAACACTGCCAAAATACGAGATGAGTATCACTGATCATACTTGGTTTTAATCGCAAAAGTCATAATGATGCTTACAAAAAGATGAGTATCGACTCAAGATATATGAAATTTAAGTCATATAGTGCGCTGCGTAAAAAAATAACTGGATGCTATCCTTTCTGAAACCAGAACTCAAAAGACAAAGTACGCACAACTTGTTTTTAAAATCTAACTGGGACATTGTCAATCTTGATTTTATAATCATTGTTCAACACCCGTTAGTGAGTTATTCTCCCCTACATATTCCTCAATTAACCAGACTTTAAAATTCACTGGGAGTACTAATGAACACAAAATGATTTGATAAATGATTGCATATGCATTTTGCGTTAACAGCTGATACAGCTTGATCCTCTGAATGAAGTATGAAAGATAGTGTCATTAAAATTAAAACTAGTCGAATAGTTCTTGTCTGAAGAGTTAGATGAAAATAAAGTAACTAAAACAGTGAATGCTTAATATCCAACTGAATTTTCGATTCGCTGTTCATTTTCTTTCTTGTGTGTATCAGTTTGCTGAGGATTATAACGTGCTGGGACAAACCAATTTCAGAGTCAATACTTATTTAACAACCAGTTTACAACTCTTAATGCTGATTTTGCACAAATTAAAAGACATAATCGCAATTTCAAGGTAAAGTATAAGTTCAGTAAAAACAAACAAAATACATAGTAGTAACAATGAGAGGCACAAGTATCAAAAAATATACCTGTACCTTTCTAATACCAACAGCTGATTTTCTCCAAGTTCGAATGCCTGCTCAGCAAAAGAGAAAGAGACGATGTTACCAGATTCGTGGATTAATGATTCAAGAAAACAAAGTAGTTCATTGGTAGCCAGAACCAAATCAACATCTGGGACACAGTGGTCAGAAATACTTTTTGCAGGTACTGAAAACTCCTCTCTAGAGGCTTCCAACTTCTTATCGAAACAAGGCATAATACTGACATGCAAACAGTTTTCTTCACCTACAAGTTTGATTATCCTGCCTGCGATTTGCTGTGGAGAACGAACATTGGATACATGGGGGATAATTGAGAATTCACTGTACCCAGAACTTGGAGAGCTGGTTGAAGTAAGGGAATTCTTTTCAGCATAACATATCCAACCTTTAAATAGTAAAGAAATGAGATGTTAAACAGCTTTTCCATTTGCTTTCTTACTAGCAAATATTTTGCAGTCCAGAAATTTTGGTCTTTAAATAGGACTACGTGGACACTACAGGTTGTACTAATAGTATCACTTTCACACTTATCTGTAAATGAATATAATACGTACTCGTATAACTAGCGGCTAATTATCTTAAACACTAAAAACACAGAGAAATTTTGCTTGTAATATTTGATGCTGTATCTATTGTTTAAAAATATGCCTATATTAGTTTCATCTTTACCCTCTTAAACAGTTTGATCAATTACCATTTTTTTGAAGTACCATTTTCGAAGTAAGAAACGCACTGTATATTTGATTATCAATGTAGGACCTAGATAGAGTTTCCATCGATTTTTGTTGATACAACTTACTACCACTACACTATGAACTCAGTTTAACTTATAGATACTCATTTACACTTGTGTCTGTGTGGATTTCATACAGTTAAGCACTTCATATATTTTATTTATTACCATCAGATTGGAAAGAAGGATACCTGATCAAAATACCAAAGAAAGGTGATCTCAGCAAGTGTGAGAACTACAGAGGCATCACTCCTCTTTCAATACCAGGCAAAGTCTTCAACAGGGTATTGTTAAACAGAATGAAGGACTTCATAGACGCCCAACTTCGAGATCAACAGGCCGGATTTCGTAAGGATCCATCGTGTACTGACCAAATTGCTACATTACGAACCATTGTGGAACAATCAATTGAATGGAATTCACCACTCTACATCAACTTCATCGACTACGAGAAAGCATTCGATAGCGTGGATAGGAAAATACTTTGGAGGCTTCTTCGACACTATGGTGTGCCTGAGAAAATAGTCAACATCATACGGAATTCTTATGATGGATTCAACTGCAAAATCATGCATGTAGGACAGCTGACAGACTTGTTCGAGGTGAAGAGTAGTGTCAGGCAAGGTTGCTTACTCTCACCCTTTCTCTTTCTCCTGGTCATCCATCGACTGGATTATGAAGACGTCAGCATCTGGAGGGAAGCACGGCATTCAGTGGACAGTTAGGACGCAGCCTAACGATCTGGACTTTGCAGATGACCTGGCTCTTCTATCTCACACGCAACAACAAATGCAAGAGAAGACGACCAGTATAGCAGCAGCCTCTGCAACAGTAGGTTTCAACATGCATAAAGGAAAAAATCAAAATTCGCCGATGCAACACAACTTGAACCAATCAAACCACTCTTGATGGAGATGCCTTGGAGGACGTTAATACCTTTACATATCTTGGCAGCATTATCGACAACCAAGGTGGATCCGATGCAGATGTGAGGGTGCGTAAATCAAGATTTTCAATACAAATGTCAAGACAGTTCTACTGTATGGAGTGGAAACTTAGAGAACTACCAAAGCCATCATCCAGAAGATACAAGTGTTTATTAACAAGTGTCTTGGCAAAATACTTCGGATTCGTTGGCCAGACACCATCAGCAACAATGTACTTTGGGAGAGAACAAACCAGATCCCAGTCGAGGAGGAAATCAGGAAGGAGCGGTTGAAGTGGAAAGGACACACTACGAAAAGCACCTAACTGTGTCACAAGACAAGCCCTCACATGGAAGCCTCAAGGCAGAAGGAAACGAGGAAGGCCAAAGAACACATTATGCCGAGAAATAGCGAAAGATATGAGAGGAATAAACAAACATTGGACAGAACTGGAGAGGGAAGCCCAGGACAGAGTTGGTTGGAGAAAACTGGTGGGCGGCCTATGCTCCATGGGGGGTAACAGGCGTAAGTAAATAAGTAAGTAACTAAACGATGCCAAACGGCAGCGAAAGCTTCCTACTATCTTCTGAAATTTATACACAGTCGGGAGTAATCTAGCAACGGTTGTCGGAACGGGTAATATACGAAATCTAGGAATTATTATTACCAGCTTATATCATAAATATCAAGTTAGCAGTGTATACAGAGCATTTTCGGTCTACAGTGGAACTAAGAAGTGACTGATATTATTCATATATAGAACTCTGTGCAACCACACACTCCTACCGGTCAGGAGTCGGGAAAGGAAAAATCTATCTGATTTTAAGAGATTTGTAGGTAAATTCAATTTATCAAGTGATTATCTGCTACTGACTACGGTTCACATATCTGCCAGTAACCATTTTTATCATTCCTTGATTGTTCCACATTATTTGGGTGTATAGCGTTTCGGATTAATTCAGTGTGTTAAATTATCTAGTCTGCTTGTTTCGAATACCTTCATCAAATGAATTCGTCCTAAATCGGTTAGATCAGGATCTCCAGTTAGTAGCCACACCGTGGAACAGTTAAGAATCAAGCAACGATATAGCCACCTAGATAAAAGGTTGACAAAAACGACGAAATCGGCGGACAGGAGCTTAATGTACAACTAGGTTGAAATGCACTGGAGATAAGTTCTTACAAAAAGTTTTGGACGCAACGTTTGCTATTTTCAAAAAGCTTCTAACAAGCCTCTGAAACGCACGCGGATCAAATTAACTTGAGTGCGAAGTATAACTCCTGTAAAGTGAGGCAAGCACACAAATTCATAAATTAGGGAACAAGTACGGATGATTTTGCATTTTTCCACAATACTAATGTCAGCAAGATATAGTTATCTGCTCTGACGTTTTGCAAGGTTATGTGATTTAAAAGAGCATAATTTTTAAAAAACTATGGGCGTTATTAGTAAGAATGAAAATAAAATATACAATGTGCGGTGAATGCATTAGAAATTAAAGTTGAGAAGTTTACTAGATTTGAATTGGAAACATCAATATTACCTGGACAAATACTTGAAAACAAAGGCAAATGGTCTGCGCACTTATCAATATTTTTTGCGAAGTGCTCTAAAAATTCTAATCCAGCTTCATAGAGACATATATCACGAGCCCAAGTAACGTCTGTAACCAAATGAACCCCGATAGAAAAGAGACACGAAACAATAAAAGTTCTGAAAGTACTCATATCTGACTTTGATAACGAATTACTGACTTGAAAACAGTGGAATGCTTTAGCCAATTTACTTTCAGGAAAGGATAATACATGGCTCAATAAATTGGCAATGGTCTGCGGGGACAAGGAAACAACTATTATACGCCGATCGTTTATCTGTAAATCTTAAGTAAACTAACAAAAATACCTTTTTCGACCTATTTTGCAATAAAATATCAGAAAATACGGTAGAGTTGTGTTCGGATATAAGAATGGTCTCCGCAGAAGTTATACAGCCACTACAAGCCAGACAATCATTAAGACTGATAGATGCTTTTTGTAAGACATATTTATTACCGTCCTATGAGATCTTGGTAACTAGACAAACAAATTACCTCAGTTACAGCCGTGTACGAACCGTCTTCTTCAACTTTAACAGACTTGGTCTTTCCTATCGATTTATCGATCTTTACCGGTTTAATACATGCCTGAAACATTGAAGTTAATGAAAAACAAACGGACCTGTGTGGGAGCAATATAATCATCTATCGTATTTATTTGAATGACAGATGAGAAGTTGCTCTCAGATGATTTCGCGGACATGATGAGAAAAAATAACGGAGATTAATGACTAACTCTGCAACCATGAAACTAAAAAAAAGTGTTTTGTTAAGAATGTGAGTTTGGTTGTGTAAAAAATTCCAAGCATGATTGATAGTTCGATAAGTATAACCACAATATATGGAAAAAAAGTGGATATCTTTTTGTATTATGAACATTAACTTACACTAATTGAATATGGGGTAAGAGTGAAATCTTTTTCTATCATCCTGTAAGTATTACATACGATCTTCTCATTCTATTATTCATTACATTTGGCTACTAGTTTAACTTGCTCAAACTAAGTTATAAACCTGTTTAGACCATACAGAGTGGTTGAAGTTTTTCAAAGTTGCTTAACTATTGTTCATGAATTTAGCTTCACTGTACCGACGTGTATTTAACGGTTCGGAAAGTAGAACAAATGTGCAAAGACTCCACCTTATATTGTTTTTTTCCATTTAAACTATGCTCGAAACTCTTCGTCGATTCAGTTATTACTGACTAGGAGACTGTTCTGAACAACAGGGTCTGTATAACTTGAGCCAAAGTGGATTGTTGGATATAATGGCGGTATAAGCACATTGTAAAATCCGGAAGCCCCCTCGTTCTCGAGGAAGATTACCATATTATAAGACGCGATTCGGCAGTAAAGAAAGGCGGTAAAATAGAACAATTCAGTTTTCTCATAAACTTGTATACACAAAACGATCAGCTGTTTATTGAGTAGTAACTAACACGTACGTTTAAGCGATGATCTAAGAATGCAATAAAAAGGATTGCGACTGAAGTATCTTTGCGCACAAGCAGTTTATATTAAAGCAATGAAGTAATGGTAGCGGAATATTCAGATCAAGCAGACCCGTTTGACCTACGTAAAATATCCAATATCTTTTTCACGAGTTAGTGTAAAACAATTGCTTTCTTTGCTCTCGATTCTTGCTCTTTCAGTACGGTTAAAGGTGTTCGGTATTGTTCAATGGATGGAGGTCTAGCCACTCGACTGTTTAATTCTAGTCAGTCGGCAGTTGGTTGTCAGTTTGTATGTCTCGGGATTTGAATAAAAACGTTTGTTTCAGAGCAATAGGGTCTCTGGATACCAACAGCTATCACAGTACGAGACCGGAGATCAGTTAGTTGCAATGTGGAGAGTAATAAGGTTAATAAGGATAAAATTCTAATGCTAATATGAATAAAATTTCAGAACTGAGTATTATATAGATGAATTTAGTTTGTTAATTGGTAGTGAAGATTGTGAGAAAGGACCGTGGTGTAAGCAAGGGGGAGGAAACAGAGATGATAGGCGAGATAGAATTAGTAAGTGATCTGATGAGATAGCAATGATAACCACTAGCAGGTCTCAAGATATGCATCATGAACAGCTTGTCGAAGAGGGAGATGATTATCCGTATATGATTACGTGATTATCATGTCTCTTCTTAAAGCAGTCCACTGAGAGTGCTGTGGTCACCTTGGCTGGGAGAGCATTCCTAGAATTTCCACTATTCACAGGAAAGAATCCAGATAGGGACATTTAATCATTCCCGAAGATATAAACTTTATCGCTCTTCATGAGTAGACAGTCTGAGTAATAATTCGTTCAAACGGAATGATCCCACGTAAAAACCACTATGTGATAGGTCAAGTTGTCTCGAATAACTGATCTCTTCCTAGTTGATTCGGCAGGACACACAACATTCTTCACTTGCAAATATTGGACTTGTGAAAAACTTATTGGATCCACGCAAAACTGATTACTTGGACGGTAATTAGTAGAGTCGCAGTTTGGGTGTTTTTCAGGGTCTATTCTCGTGTAGTTTATATTTGATCAGTTTTAATTTCATTACTTTCTCCTACAAAACTCTTATCTCGCATATTTTTCTCTTCATGTAATCTCGAATTTCGTCCTTAAATCCGTTAGGTAACATCAATGACAGCGTTTCTACCAGTTCTTACACCATAACAACTAGGAAATCTAGTAGGGGTATGAATTCTGCGGTTAGTAATTGATCACAAATCTCAGTCTCGAGCGGCAGATTTGTGAGAAAACTCAAAATGTGACTCGACAGTGTCCATCGGGGTAATATGCATAATTCGGATCATTCGACTGAAACCTCTCCACTGGGTCTTCATTAATGAAACCAAGATTACTCTCTCTTTCTCTCTGGGATTCCTGCCCTTAGTAAGACTAGTGGACAGGCGAGAAAAGGGGAAGAGCATCTTAAGACTCGAACTTTACAGCCTACCCAACAGACACCCAAATAACTGGTGTGACCGAATCATTTTGATGTTGCTTCAACACAAATGACACAAAATACTTGATTTACCGGCTCCCCAGAAAGATAAATTAACGGAGGCCATACTTTAACTGTCACCCCTTGGTTTAATTTATTACTCTTAGCTGGAGAGTTAAACACTACATCTACGAACCTCAGCAAAAAGGGTGCAGCTCCAAAGACGACTTGGCTCAGCCATTTAAATTTTTGGGCTGACGGAGCATGTATGAATCTTTACTAGGTAGACTAAGGATGGAAAATCCTCGAAGATGAATAATTTTTTCACAAATTATCAGCTCCTGGTCAAGGATGTTCATGTCCAAACAACAATAGAAAGTTGTGTTTTTGTCGCAGCCATGTTTAACATGGACATAAACAAAGCGCTAAGTCAGGACGTATGCAAATCCTCACTTTAGTACACTAGGGCAAGTAACACACGCATGAGAAAGCATAGCCACAGCAATAGTAGAGGCTAGCATTAGATGTTTACTGGCCAACAGTGAGGGAAATCATCCAGAATGCTTTCCCAGACCATGTACCTCAGGTACACCACAAACCATGGAACAGAAGAAATGGTGAGTGAACAAATGAGAGAGCGCATATATAAGAATGAAATCTTTCATGAAGCTGAACACGGGTTTTGAAAAGGAACGTCAAGTACGTCCAATCTTCTCATAGCATGCGACAGCTGGATAACTTGCTGGGATCTAAAAATGCCAGTTCATGTAATACTCCTTAACTTTGCAAAGGGCTTAGACACTGTACCTAGCATACTCCTAATTGCGAAGGTTGCGGAAACGGACTTTAATGACAAACTTCTATCTTGGCTCAGAAACAAACTTGAGAATAGAAAGTTTCGCACCATGGTAAATAGAGTGCACTCGAGCTGTCGAGTCTCAACAACGGGAGTTTAATAGGGGACAATTTTAGTTTAGACGGGCTGGGTTAGACAAAATTAGCTCAGCGACATTGATCAACGAAGATGAGGCGAAAAAGACTCAACTGAGCTTCAAACGACCTTCCATCTATTGAATAATGGGTACAAAGAAATGGCTTAAATCTCAACCAGCCGAAATGTCACGTTATGAACATTCTGCCAAACATAAAACAAACTACTTACACCCTCAATGGCAGTCTGTCTCCTGAGGTCTGCTCAGAGAGCGATCTCGGTCTAATAGCCATATAAAGCTTAGAGACCAGTTAGATCTCTATAGGGGATTCAGTCAGTGCTAAACAACACTTCATTTTATGCCAAAGCAACTGGGTGCTATCAATCCAGAATTTATCTTAACGTTATTTAAGACACACATACGCCCAAACCATAGGGGTTCAAAACGTCTTCTCCCGTCTCCCTAAAAGAGAAATAAATCGCTTGAACAGAGTGAAAGACGAGCAACAAACTGGGCGGCAGGATTGAAGTATAAACCTTAAGAAGATAGATTCTAACATGGGATTGTTCTCTGAGAGTAACGATAAAATTAGTAGTGGTCTGATAATGGCGTACAGCATATCAAGCACGCCAAATCACCCCGAAATAAGCATCTTACCGGATCATCACCACCACAACCATTGAGGTAATCGGAAAAAAATCAGGCATCAAAGAGCAGACAGCTTTATTAACACCTTTTCTCATTAAGAGTTGTTGCAACTTGTAATGCTTTCCCAGCTGAGGTGACTACAGTATCCTCAGCGGATAGCTGCAAGAAAAGACTTGATAAACACGAACTCATATACGGATTAGCATCTCCCTCTCGGACCAGCTGTGCCTGATGCAAGTCCCGAAACTTGCCAGTTGTTATTATTCTTATTTCCTCAGATTACAACATTATTCTCTCTCGCTTACTATTTCTGTTTCATTTTCCTCGCTTCGTTCCGCTAGTACAATCTTCACTACTAATTAATAGATTAAATTATCCATTTATTTACTTAATTCTGAGATCTCCTCGTTAGCAGTAAAAGTTTCTCCTTATTATTCTACACATTGCAAATAACGGACCCCTGGCGTGACAACGTGATAGCTGCTGGTATCTAGAAACCCTACTCCCCTTAAACAAACATACTCATTCGTATTACAGAACATGCAAATTCACAAATAACTGCCAACTGACTATAATTAGTGCAGTCCAGTGGCTAGACTACTAATTATGGACGCTACCAAATACCTGGAACCTTACTAAAAAAAAGAATCGAGTGCAAAGAAATCGACTGGTGTGTAATAGCTCATGTAAAAGATATTAGATAATTAACTCGTTTAAATTTTCACTCTTGTTTTGAATGTTTTGTTGGGGTTTAGGTGAAACTAAAATGCGTATAACGTTTAGCATATATTCATGACATTTTCATACTTCAAACTACTGTTTTATCAGACCGAAACTAAAGTTTATTTGTACCAAGTATATTTTCACTATATGGATGATAATTTCGAAATCGGTAAATCCTAAAATGTTACTGCTAATTAGCTTTTAAACATCAAAATGTTTGGCTTAATTCTGAAAAACAAAGTAAGAAGTATGGAGAGTACTTGATTTAAAAGAAGTGAAACTGTGGATCATTTCTGATATCCTTCGTGTTACTGGAAGAACGAAGGAAAAACTAGTTCACTAGATGTTTTAAATTTATACACCGAACTTAACTTGAAATTGTTGATGAAACAACTGTTTTGACATATTTTCTCTTTCATCCTACATTGATAGGGCATGTGTAAATCCAAACATCAAAATTATTCACTCATTTGACTATGGTCAATTGACGTCAGTAAATTAACGAGCAGAACAGGCTAAAATCAAGTCACTTGTTTAAAAATTGAAGTATTACATAAATATTATTGGTTTACAACGGAGTTAATGCATGTACTAATGAAACTAAAAGTTTGAAAAAATGATTTAGACTGGTATACAAAAGATTTCAAACAAAGACGAAAAAGTGATAGGACTATACATTGGATATTGCTTCAAGATAGTTAGTTGGTACAAATTTAATTTCACCATATGGATGAAATCTGACCAAACTCCAATTGGTACTCCCATTGAGACCATAGGATCTTATAATTGTCACTAACTGACCTTTAGGCAAAATGAGAACACTTTCATCTTTTGAAGAAAGGTCGTGAGTAATCCTGTGAGTTGGCTCATCGGGCAAATCATCATTCACACACACTTTTGAGGTTGAAGGTTGTTCTTTCCCAGTTATATGTTCGGTGATGTCACCACTTGACGAAGATCTGCGCATTTTTTGTTCCTGTTGATAATCAGACTCACAATACTGCGTAACAGAAAGAAACACTGGTTTTAGATAAACTGAGTTTTAAAAAATTAACAAATTTTAGAACTGCATTAAAAATTTTCAGAAATTAAAAGACCCATAGTGCATATAAGAATTAAACGTTGGCTAACGCTGAATGATTAACGGAGTAGTTGTTTAAACTTGTTATGTAGAAAAAAATGTTTTAAACTAATAGTGAATATGAAATGAAATATTATGTTTAACATTAAACGTTTCAATTTTAAATAATGATCGAGTGATTATTGTGGTTTTTAGTTTAATCGATTAACATTTCTAAGATTTTGTACTTTGTTTTCTATAATTAAAATTTCAGTTCTACTTAGTTTCAACTGAATATTATTTGCATTTCGAGAACTACTAAACCTATGGTCAGAAATGCTAGAAAAAATATCTTTTTGTAGCAACTATCATGTAAGGAGACTTATCCTTCGTCAAATTGTTTTCAATTATCACTTAATCAATTAACAGCTCACAATATGATAGACCAACACTTGCGTAAATACCGATTCTTATACCTGAAAGAAACAGCCACATTTTTTCTGAATTATTTAAAATACTTGATGGATGCATTATTATTGGTGAATAATCAGTCACATTCACTTCCGTTCTCCTTACTGGTTGAGGAATTCATTATTATGCCTGTACAATTGAAAAATCGCTTCCAATTAATCAAACAGTTTCACACTCAATTTCTGAAAAACATTAGGACGATGCTCATATTTTAATTAATATTCATTAGTTTACTGAAATACTTTTATTTGCTGATATGATAATTTATTTCATCCATAACATCTAAAAGCACTAAATTTGACCTAATCAAATTCATGAATCGGGTATTAAAATCAACTAAATAAAGTTTTCTGCTAGCATTGTCACAGAACAGGCAAAAAGAATGAGCTCTTTTTTCTTCAATGAAATCCTTCAAACCGATGAATTCTACACAATTACTTCTCTTTTCAGTAAAATAACTTCGTGATTCATGACCTTAGAAATTGATTGTCTTTCTTAATTGCCATAAATAAGATTGAAAAAAAGTGAGCAACGTGTGATTTGTTGGATTGCATCACAAAATCGCTAGGCTATTGATTACCTAATATCAATAAGTCATGAAGGAGGAATCTGAAAACACATAGAACTACTTGTATGCTTAGAAATCACTCCATAAACAGTTGAAAATTATGTGAAAGATGTGCGAAAAGCAATTACATATTTAGTTTCAGTATCAAATACTATTGTGAGAAGATTGAAATTAATTGTGTTCATGTAATACTATATTTTTGATGTGAATACCTAAAAAATTATCGTAGACCATCTAACTCGTTCATCAGAATCATGATATTTAGAAACATTATTCTTTGAGTTTCTTATTCATATTAGTGCATTTTTAATGATCATTGGATAAGGAATAATTATAAGTATATTATACTTGATTTCACTGAGGCTTGAAAATATCTAGTGAGATTTTATAACAGAAAAACGTATAGATCAACATGAAATGATGTTTTTACATAATCCCGACACATTCATTAAAAGTTTGACGGTTGATTTACATCTAAAGCTTTAAACATAGTCCTGATTGATCGATTGATAATCTCCATGAAAGATGGAAACCCGATATTTTATCTATTTTGACAGTTTATACCACTGTAAGACAAAATTAGTATAGGTACCATAAAAATTTAATAGCATTAAAAAAAAATGCACATTAAACTTACAATTATTTTCATATTAGGATATGGTGATAAAGAATTTTTACTAATATTTTCAGTTAAACTTGTTAAACTCGGTTGTATGTCTGTGCCTGAAGTTGACAGATAACTGCTAACTGACATCACAGCTAGATAAATTTTAAAAAAAAATGTCAAAAAATATAAGTGATTTAAGATAATTTTACAGTAGAACAAAGTGTAAAGATGGAATATTCCACCGACTGTTTTACATCTTTCAGTTTTGAGAACATAATACCAGATTTATAAATTATTTACACTTGAAATATTCTGCAAATTTTAGTCAGATAAAAAGTCAAGCTAATATGAAGTTCTCCTTCTCATGATAATCATCCAGTCATGCTTATTCAATAATATTAACACAATAACACCGACAGATAATACTATTAAATTCATTCAACATTAATTCATAACATACTTTCTGAATAGAGTCTAGAAAAACTTAGATTAAGAAAAATTCCTTTAAAAGACAGTAATCGTTTTGATTTTAATTCAAACTACTAATATGTTTAACACAGTTGCAAGTCACAAAAATAAATGATGAATTTATTGAGCTTCCAATTGTTTTCACTTAGATACTGAGACGAATCAATAGATTTAAACCTGCAACACAAAGAATTTTGGTTGACTACCTTAAATCTCTCATAATCTATGACGCAAAATAAATAATTGAACAATTCAAACCAAAAATTCTAATATCTTACGAGATTCCCGAGGAGTTAGATGATTCTTGTCTCTGCATATTGATTCTTCTTCTAATTTAAACCCATAAGGCAATTCATATGTTCTTTGAGTACGACAACGTTTTGTTTCATTGAGAAGAGATTTTAATTTATCTATAGTAGCAATAAATTCTGCAGGAGATATATTACATCCAGGTGGTTTCGTTATATTGACTTCTTCAGCCTGCGGAGAGTAGCAAAATGTTTTCAACTTTTTAATTAAAAACATTTGATTTTATAAGTAGTAAAATAATAATGTCTGTGCAGAATTATTTGTTAAATTTCGGAGTTTAATTACTTTTTCGAAAGGAGTTATCATTACAATCATTTTAAATCTTAGGTAATAAACATGGCCAACTAGATAAAGAAAATAGTTCAAGGACTATTTATGAAGAGAAAGTGAATTTTGATTAAAACTGCAACCATTCAGTAATTCAAGTCTCATTAAACTTAAACAAAAATTCATATATTTGTCTCGAGCGTCATAAAATTTGTTTCATATAAAATCTTGGTGACTTACTGGATAAAAACTGAAGTAAATGATCAATATGCTTAGAACCACTAATCATAAGGTTAACAAAAAAAAAACTCATAGTTCATTGGATAATGGGAATCCGTCCAAGATGTACATATGCCAACAAAGAGACTGATTAAAATCCTTTCAAGAATATTCTTGTCACCATCATACAAACCCTTGTAACATACTCAAAAATTACATTTTAATCATAAAAAAAAGACATGGACTGTGAATTTTCATGTTTTATTCATTCATTTAACTAAGTGTAAAACTATTTTTAAAATTGCACATTGTTTTCAAGGGCAGTAATAGTAATAATAATAATAATAGTTCATCATAAAACTATGAAGATATCAACAAAACCTTGACCGACAATATGCTATCATAATCTCAAATATATGTGTTTGATAATTTAAAACACTTAATGTCAAACCAAAAAAAATAGGAAGAACCAATATTAGAAGATGAATAATTTATGTGCAAAGTATATTATTAATTCATTTCTAAATTACTAAGAAACAATGTTTTAGTTGCCAAAGTTCGCTTGTATTTATCAAATTTCATAATGAAGACTGCAGTAATAAAAACTGACCATCTATAACAAGTCCTAAGTGGAATTCATGATAACTGAAGTCGGTTAAATCGGAGTGAAACAACGACTAATCATCGAGGATTGGACTGTCGAAAATGACTGAAGTTTATAATGTAAACCTTTAAATAGGAGCTTAGTTGTACAAAAGTATGGTACTGTGAAGCTTCCATGTTTGATATCAACATGAGCATAATTAGCTAAGGCTTTTTATTTCTGAATGTTTCCATGTAGTTATGGAATAATTTTGAAACATCGTTAAATAACCAGTTGTACGCATGGTGATGATAAAAATTCATCTTATTACTTTCTTTCGAAATTTCTAGGCTTCTTGAGATTATAGCTTGGATTACGTGACAATAAAAATGCCAAAGATTTTAAAATTGTCTATTGAAATATTCATGTTTGACATTATTGCAAGTTAATTCAATTACTTTGAAAAGCTGTGTCAAAATAATTCAAATATGAAAAAAAACATTAGTCAAGTTAGTTTATATTATTTCGTATATTTTTTAAGGAATTCATTTTCCCAACATAAATATGATAGGTTTTTATAAAATAAAAGACCAACTAAATGAACAAAAAATGATATTAACTGATTTTATGCAAACAATTAAATATAAATAATACTTACAAATATTAAATAACTAAAGTTTAAATTAAACCTCAAATACGGTTGATTCAATTACGTTGGGGTGTGTTTCGCTGTCTTTTGTTCATATTCCATTCCGTTCTGTCAAGCTTGTTCCTCATATTGAGGCATAAAACACCAACCAGGAATCTCCAACTAACTTTATGCTGAACCGTTCATTATATTGATGTCCGTTTTGATATACGCTTCTGTTTCCTGACACAATATGTAACTTTTTCTACCTTCTTTCTTTTTGCCTTGAATATTCGAAGTAAAGGTTGATTTGTGTTGCAGTTTGATAATTTCTGCGATGTATGCAGGTAAGTAAAAGCTGCTGATTTTCCGAAAGCTTCGCCATTAAGAGTGGTTTAGTTGTTGCCAGCAGTGCTGTATCTCAGGATCCTGCGTTTCCCTTGTGGATTTTAGGGTCTACTATTACAGAGACTGATGTTACACTGAACATCTTTACCTTTTGTTTTCGTATATAGGAAAGAAGAACCAGGTGATTTGTAAAATCCAATCGCCCAACAGAGTTTAAAGTGTTCACAGTTTTTAATGCTTTTCCTGAGATTCGGAGGTCACCATAATTCAGTCGGTGACCAGGAGGAAGAGAAAAGGGATTAGCTTTCAGCCTTGTTTGACACCACTCCTCGCTTGAGCTGAATTCATGGGCTGCACTTAAGTATGACTTCGTGATTTAGTCCCTTATGGTAGTATCATGTGATAATAATGATCTCCACAGATACTCCGTGATGTTCGAGAAGATTCTGCATAATTTTCATAATGGATAAATCGCATTCTTTCCCCGAACAGAGGAGAGTGATTTTTTAACTTACCCGGCACTGGAGGCAGTGTGATACACCTATAGTTTTCAGGCATACTAAGATCTCCTTTCATTAGGAACTTGATGAGGTACACCTCATTTCTTTTAGTAGGTGCTGGGTTTTTGCGCTCGAATCTTTGTGAAGAGACGAGGATTCCTTCGTTCTTAGAGATATGTAAGGCTTGAAACTTACTGCTAAGAGATATCTTGAATTTTTTCAGGTTACCAGCATCTCAAAGAAAGACCATATCAAAATTTTGTTGTACCGTGTGCTTATTTATCCAGTGTTTCTTTTGCTTCAGATTCACCTTGGCCAACAAGAAATGGTGATCTTGAACTATCCCAGCTCTCCAACTCCTTCTCAAGTCTTCTGCAAACCTTTTGAACTTCTATTGATACAGATGTGATCAATCTGGTTCGCTGTAGTGTGGTCCCATGCAACCCATGTAGCCATATATACAGATGTGTGGAAATATGGTGTTACAATTAGCTATTTTGTTGAAAGCAAAGGAATTTGCGAATCTTTCGCCATTTTCATTTCTTTTCCCCACTCTATGTGGCCACATGATATATTTATGTCCTATGTTGTCCATTCTGACTGTGTCGCTTAGGTTTCCTACCAGAATGGTCAGGTCGATTCTTGAGCACTTCTCTATGATTGGCGGCAGGCTGCATAAAACTAATTTTTATCATCTTTGTTGTTATCATTGGTGGATACATATGACTGTAAGATATTAATTCTTATTCCCCTCTTCCTTGTCCTGAAGAATACTTAGATAATTCCGTTTCCATGAGATTCCTATCCTACAAGTGCTTTATGTACTTCATTAGACAGCCCCAGTTGAATTCCTCTTGTGCGAAATGTTCCCTTCTCTATGTCCAAAGTACAGCAGCACCTTTCCTGAAGTTAGTCTTTTCTCATAGCCCGTATAGAATGGGTTTCACTTTCAACAGGTACCTCAAAGTTGTATCATTTTATTTCCGCAGATACTTGGATGGTCCTCTTACTCCCTTAAATTGAGCGAGCATTTCATGTACCTATATTAATCTAGTTGACAGAAGGGGTATTGATCCCGTGATATTCCAACGAGTCCTTGACTCGACTATGAGTTTTCATAACCCTTCTACCTGAACGCTCTTCAACTCCAAGCTCAGAATTTTATAGGCTTTAACTGAATTATCTGGCAGAAGCTTTTTAGGAAAGTCAATTTACACAGGATGGATTGCTTTTCCTATACCCTTTAGTGTTTCCTGCTTGTCCGAAGCCCTGACAATGTGGGGGCTTCTGCGACTGCGGGCCTCAACATACACAAGAGAAAAGCAAGGTCTTCCGATACAACACTGAATATACCAACTAAATCGCTCATGACAGAAAAGCGTTGGATTATGTGAAAACCTTTACATATCTATGCAGCATCATTAACAAACAAGGTGTATCTGATGCAAATGTAAAGGTATGGATCGACAAGATAAAGTCAGTATTCCTGTAACTGAAGTACATCTGGAACTCAAAACAACTGTTAACCAACAACAACAAAGTTTGGACTTTCATCGCAAATGTTAAAACAGTTCTGTTATACGAGACAGAAAGTAAGGCCATATTCCAAAGATATAGGTGTTTATTAACAGTCTTCTACACAAGATACTGTAGATCTGTTAATCAGACAATATCAGCAATAATTTATTATGGTAGAGAAGAAACCAACTGAGATAGAAATCAGGAAAAAACGTGGGTAGTGGATAGGACACATATTACAGGAATTATTGAACTGTGTCACAATACAGTCATGATCACATGCAATTCTCAGGGCTCAAAGTTGTATGGGAGACTGAAAATCACATTGCCTGAGGAGTTGGAGGTAAACGTCAAAACGGTGAATAAAACTTGAAGACAACTGGAAAGGAGAACCCAGTACATAGTAGGTCGGAGAAACCTGGTCAGTGTCCTATGCTTCACGAGAGTTAAGAGGTGTAAATTAAATAAGCAAGTAAGTAATAATATAAACTTTCAAGTCTAACTAAAAGGCACTTTAATGGGTAGATACTCACAGAGGTGTTTTCGATATAACTAGTTTCAGAGTTAGTTCTATATTAATCTCAGACTATTTTACTCATTGACTTAATTATTTTTGTGAAGATCGTCAAAATAATTTTCCTGGCTTAAACTTTCCCGGTTGACCGGAAATTTGTAACAAGATCTTCCTAATAGATGAAAGGGGTTCTGATCCCATGAATCATAACATTGTGACAAGCAAATTGTCTAGCATTCTACTTGTCGAATAATTTCTAGTGATCCAACGGTACGATTATAAGTACGTGAAATTACACTTCTTTTACCTTGCTGATTTAAACAAGAACATATTTGTTAACATTTGAAAAAAACAAGAAATTCACACCTTCTTAAAAATCAGACCAGATCAAATTTCATAAATAGTTTGCCAGAGTTATTAAATAAAAAATATTTATCAATATAATACTACTTACAGACACTAATTATGCAATTTAATGTTGAGAATATTGCTGTAGAACTTTTGAAGAATTAATTCATCTTAATTCTGAAAATGTTTTATTGATTACACCACTTGTATAAGTTACGTAAACTTACTTCTGTGTGATTTAGTCATTTAGATGAAACAGCTTGACAAACTGATTTTACCATTGTGTACTTTCAAATAACAAACCTTATCTAAAAGTGTTTACAATTGTTCATCATTTATGTAGCGTTTACTGTAACTTGCAAAAATAATTAATTAAGAGGCAGTTATTCATAAAATTTAACTAGATAAAGTCATCGAATGTTTATACTGTTCATTTAGTATTAGACCTCTGTATAACATGATCTTTTGAGCGATACCGATTCGAAAAATACTATCGATCCTCTTGTCCATGAACGATAAGAACAATTCTTCACTAGTTGTATGGTTTTAAATATGCTTCGAACATTAGTCACGTGTCAAGTTGATTATATCCAACATTACATGTTATCTAAAACCATAACTAGCTTTAAAACCTAATCAGAAAGATATTTTGCTTAAAAACAACTGTTCTGATCAGATTTACAAATTCATTCTGTGATAGTATTATTAAAGTACAACAAAAGATCACAAACTAATTTACCTCTATAATTAGTAAAATAAACTAATATATTGGATGGCCTAATAATAAATTCACTCTTCAGCTAGTCCTGATTCATTCAATTTAAACTGTCTACTTGGGCCCTATATCACTATCAGTCGAACGAATAATAAAATTTAAACTGACAAATTAAGATCATTCTGACTTACATCTTTGATACATTTGTGGACTAAATTTTCAGCTTCTTGCATAAGATTTGATTGAAGTTTATAGGCGTACTGACTAGCTGATTGTAAAATACTGTTGGCATTCTTTATCAATGCAGGTAGCATGTTTTTTAGTCCACATTGTAAAGTAGATAGATTTCGTATATTGTCTTCTCGTTGTAATTGCATATTCGCAATAGCTTGCTTGACAAAAGAATCAATTTCTTATTATATTATTATTAAATAGAAAATATCATTATCTCAGTAATATTGAAATGAAATCTCTGCTTTATGTTCCTGTCTAGCAATCGTTGTGGTATAGGTTAGTCAATGAATACTGTGACTAGTTTAAAAAGTTGATTAATTAGTGGTCATTTTTCTCATATCTTAATACAAGTTACCGATGTAAATGCGACTGTATAATTTGTAAATATTAAAAAGAAAAGTAGATTTCACGATTTAAAAACTGAAATAATAGATAATTGATATGTGTAAAGTACACTTAACAATTTTCAACGTTAAGGATAATTTGTTGTCATTGCACTAGCTAGAAAATATTACTCCAAAAAGACTTGCCTAATGTTTAGACATTTTTATTAAGCATAATGTTCCTGTTGGTGGGACATATTTTGACACAGTTTCGAAAATTCATTATTTCAAAATTTATATTCATAAATATTTATTAAGAAGACATATGCTTATGAAATTAATCGTCTTACATCGTTCCGTATTAGTTGTAAATCATGTTAACAATAGGCTGTTCTATATAATTTCATCTAACTTTACGTTTATTATATAAGCGTTAACTTATATAACTGCATTAAGTTTCTTATTGTTAGTTAACATAGTAATTTATTTGAAATATCGTTAATTAGTCAGTTATTAGCAGAAGTTTATATATTTGTAGAATAAATATTCCAGTATGCAACATGATTATACTTTTATTCTTTTCCTTGACTCTTTTTGAATGCATTTTTTTTTCGAACAATAAATAACGTAACGATGTAAGGTGTCCAACGTCTGAAAGTGGTATGCACTAACCCTCCGAACTGACTACTTGAACGAGAAAGCAAGACTGAAAAATAAAGTTTATGTGGTTACCGAATCATATACATAATTATGCATTTATATTAATACAATCCTCCTCCTTAGAAAATGAATTCATTTCTTGACCAATGGTCGTTCTTTAGACATTTCTGATGATCGTTAAATGGTTTTTCATCTGGCCTCTTTTGACTGACTCTCTATTTCAAATAATGCATTCATAAAAGGACATTGCTTTGAATTAAAATCAATGCATAAATGGTGTGAACATAAAACCACTGATTATATCATTCTTATTTGAGATAAACACCATTTAATCAATTTAACTATAGAATATGTTTGCAATCATGTGATAATAAATTGCATCTAATGACAAGATAATCAGTCTGCTTAATATATAGTCACAAGGTTATTGAAAAATGTTGTCGATAAAATATCTGCCAAGTCAATAAACACAAGGGTGTATTTACACTACTACATATAATACGGCTACAAATCTCGTGTGACTGTAAATAATAACGTTGAGTTGGTTTGCTTAATAACAGAAGTTTAGTAAGTTGGCCTTTCAAAAGCTGACATTGTTTAAAATAAGGACGTATTCAACTTGGTTATTTTAGAAAAATGCTCTTATCAAAAGCAAAATCGATATATTGATATGGTATTAAGCATATAAAATGTAGAATAGGCTAGGTAATAACAGTTTAGGTTTTCTACTTTCTTTATATTTACTACCAAATTATCAAGTACTTTCCTATCAAAAAAGTTTCACTTCAATTTATGTTTCTTAAAATAAATAAATAATGAACAATAAGCTATTGATTGTCTTACAGTACCTTATAAACTGAAAATGAACATCTGAACAATATACATCTACATAGAGAATCAATAAAAATTTCCCGAATCATATCCCAGAAATCATGTCATTTAGTGTACTTACATTGATTAGTAATATTCTATAATTTGAGTTGTTATCTATTCTTTTTTGATATATCTTTTCTACTGTATAAATAACATGTATGAATCAGAAATCATCTATGATATATCTATCCTACTTGATGATGTTATCTTTCTACTCTGTTTTTTTTTTTATTGTTCTTTATGATGTGATGTTCTTTTCAATGATATTGTCTAAAATGAAAATGTTTAATATCTTGTTTATATAAAGTGATCAGAAAATGTCTGTATACTAAAATACTTTATTTTACTAATTACATACTACTGTAAACGAAGCCATTTACCGGTGATCATTTTTTGTGATTAGAGTCTTCAGATAGTATTCGCATAAAATATGAAGCAATGAATAGATAGATATAAAGCAAATAATTAAAAAAAAAACACACAGTGTTTGCTGAATGAACTTACAATATTTTTTTGGTTTTGGTTTCTTATGGAAGCTTCCGCTAAAACAATATTTAATTCTGTATTATCAAATTTATCCAAAAGACGTTTTGAAATAGTTATTAATTTTTTCAATTCACTTAAGCGATTCAATACACTAGATGTCATTGTTCTCAACTACAATAAAAGTATTTTAAAAAAAGAATATGAAATTACGATATAATAAAATCATATTTAAAAAATATCTTGGTATACATACATAAAGAAAAGCATCCATGTAGAGTTAAGGCGTCGAAATATTAAGTTACGAGCGATTTAATATTTATTGTCAGTTCAAAAAGTAGTTATATTTGAATATAAATTGAAATTTCAATTCAAATGTATCATCAATATTATAAGCTTATAAATTTAGAGATTTCGATACATTAAAACTTAATTTTAGTCAAATACAAAAAATTCGAAAAAATCAATCAGAATTATTATTGAAACCCATCTCTATATTTGTTGTCAAAGCTCCATAACCGAAAAATATCTCTGAAGGTTAATTATATAAAGAATGTTTCACCTGGAGACATTCTGTAGTTACCGCTTGTCTCAAGCCCGGATAGAGCAGGATGGTTGGACATGAGGCTAGCGACCCTATCCTGTGGAAAACGTACTTGCTGAAAAAACGTCAACCAGAAAAAAATACAATACAACCAATCCTGATTGTACTGAAATCTACAGGTACTATGATCGTAGATGCTCATCTTCAAAATGTTTTCAGCCACTGAAGAGAGTTATCTAATGCTTACAAATTTTCAGTAATTTGGTTAGCAACGTCAGTGTAATATATATCAGAGTTCTATTCGGTTAAATGATAATTATTAATCATATCTAGATGTAAAGAAATGATAGTATGAGAGGGATAGAAATAACATTTCAGTGGCTAAATTTGATAATTTAAAACACGATTCAAAATAGTTAGACAAGACAAACAGCTAAATTAATTTACACATTTTTGAAACCATGAATCGATCAATGTTAGACCACCGTTAGAAACCTGCGGGGTGCAGGATTCGTCGATGCGCACTGCTGAGGAGTCCCATACCAGGACGAAACGGCCGTCCAGTGCTTCCAGGTTTCTAATGGTGGTCTAACATTGATGGATTCATGGTTTCAAAAATGTGTAACTTAACAATCTTCACAACCCCGTGATATAAATTAATTTAATAATATTATGAATATTCTGGTAGAATGTGTTTTTGCTGAGGTTTCAATCACTCGTCACAAATCATAAATGCTTAACTTTTCCATAAAACACGAGTAAATATAAACAGGACAAAAAGAACTTATTAAATAAGAAGAATAGTTTTTAAAAAAAACAAATTAATTAAAACTGTACCGTTTGATACGATGAATATTATATTCGTCAAAACTGAAACCCAGGTATATCTAATCAATAAGCAGTAAAATATTATCAAACATAATTACTTCATCCTTTTTTTTTTTCAAAGTATCATTCAGTATATGATCAACTTTAAAATACATGTTAATCGATAAAATAATTTACTGGTTAAAATTAAATAGAATCATATAAATAAAAATTATTCATCACTTCTTACATATATATCATCCATATAATGAATTAATGTATCAAATGCTATTTCATAATTTATTATCAAATCAAAAGGTAAATCATTTGTTGAACAATCAGTTATTGGTATATCAGCATGGAGTTTAATTAGACTTCGTCGTAAAAATGCCTTTTTCATAAAAGAGATAAAATCTTTCTGTGCAAGTATCAATCTCTGTGAAACAAACAAACAAACAAACAAGAAATAATTTTAGAATAATTCAACACTGTACTGTATAGATCTTAGCTTATAAAAAACAACACTGCAATTAGTTTGTTTAGCGATTTCTATTATTATCCCAACATATAATTATAAGCGTTAATTTTACAATTCGAAGTAAATAGGGTATTGAAAACATAATGAGCTTTTTGTACTCAAAACGCCTAAAGTCAAAAAACACTTCAGAGGACTTTTTAATTCAAATAACTATCATAAACTACTTCATACAAATCGGTACCTAGATTTTAGATCGGAACATTAATTTAGTGGTAAACTGTTTCACTGCCTGTTGACAAGATTTGACAGAACATACAAAATATAATTACCATTATCCTTTCATTGAAACACTTATTGCCATTAATGGCAACAGAATACCATGTAGAATGTTGTTTAGTGATAAGCACATAAATTGATGTTTTACTAACAATAACTCTATACTGTATCGTTTAGTGCTGCTTACTCACTGTCTGTTCATTGTTATTACGACTTGAGAACATTTATTTACTTGTAACCATCTGCGTATCACGACTTCATAATCTAATGCTAAATTTAGTTCTTTTTTTAAACAAAAAATTAATTACAGGACAAACAAAATACATCGTTTATGAAAATGAAGAATATGTTCGATTCAGCCGAATGTGGACAGTTTTTAAAAATCATTAACTGCTATCAACTGCAGAACAAATAAATCGATACTTTTCTTGGTTCGAAAAACTACAGCATCCTACGTTAGTGATTAATACAGGACCATGTCAGATATGAAAATTTATAAACACAAAGTCAGAATCCAATGGTTTCTTTTTTTAATTCCAGCCATTCTATATAACTATGGACAAAACTCTTGGTCCTTACATAGTTGAATTCAAAAATTAGGGATTCATCTTGTTTATCACACAATGTGAATTATTCTGATAACGAAATAATAATTGTTTCAAATAAAATTTGTTTTAAACGGATCAAAAATAATGGATACAAAGCTAAACATACATATGTAATAGTCAGTTAAATGGAATTTGTAATTAATCATTAAAGTCTTACGCGAGTTTTTTTACATCGAGATTCAACAGCACACTGTAATAAAGTACATGATTTTTCTATATGGTTGATAGCTTCTCGTTCTGTCACAAACTTTGGTTGAATCTGTAGACAAATAAACGCAACAGTAAAAGAAAGTAGTATAACTGCAATTACAAATAAAGATTGTACAGTAAAAGTCTCAACACAATTTCATAAAAAATAATACATGTTTTTGGCTTTGCATAAAAATAGTGTTTATTAACTTGAATATGTGCGGTTAGGTTAAACACTGATTAAATAATGAATAATTGCTGGTTAATAACCACCGTTCTGTTTGTTTATTCATTAAGCGCTGATAGCATTATGTGTATCGTTATCGTGTAACTGCAAGAGTTTATGAGGAATCATTCGATACACTATGTCATTGTTAAATAATTGTAGGAAGCCAGAAAAAAACCTGGAAACATAGGTTTCATCCCTGTCTTTAGCCAATAACAGCGTGTCTATGTAAACATAAACAAAGTGAAGTTACCCTCGAGATTTGAACCTATATCACTTAGCATGAAGTACAGTTCGTTAAACTAAATCAGTTCATAGCACGTTATTCAGGTAATGCATCCAGCGAAAACTCCAAACTCTTATTTTATATCTATCTATCTATATCGCTTCGGCGTTACACATACTAAAACATTGGTATGTTCTTAAGTATAACTTAGTTAATTACGCCTGTTACCTCCAATAGAGCATAGGCCACCGACCAGTGTTCTCAAACCTACTCTGTCCTGGGTTTCCGTCTCCACTTCTGTACAGTTTTTGTTCATTCCCCTGATATCTTTCTCTATTTCTCGAATAATGTGCTCCCTGACGTTCCTGTTTTCCTTTGACCTTGAAGTTTCAAGGTCAGGGTTTGTCTTGTGACGCAGTTAGCTGCTTTACGCAGTGTATGCCCTATCCACCAACTCTAGCGCTTCTTTCTGATTTCCGCTGGAATCTCGTTTGTTCTCTTTCACAGTAGGTTGTTGCTCATGGTGTCTGGCCAACGAAGAGCCAGGTCATCTGCGAAGTCCAGATCATCCATCTGAATCCTGGTTGTCAATTTGATACCGTGCTCCCCTCCAGATGTTGACATCTTCATAATACAGTCGGTCACCAGGAGAAAGAGAAAGGGTGAGAGTAAGGAACCTTGACTGACACCGGTCTTCACCTCGAATGAGTCTGTCAGCTGTCCATCGTGCACAGTTTTGCATTTTAATCCATCATAAGAATTCCGTATGATGTTTATTATCTTCTCATGCACGCCTGTCGAAAAAGCCTTTATAGTGTTGTCCTGTCCACGCTCCCAAGTGCTTTTTCATAGTCAATGAAGTTTATGTATAGTGGTGAGTTCCATTCAACTGATTGTTTTATAATGATCCGTAATGTTGCAATTTTGTCGGTCCATGATTGATCCTTACGAAATCCAGCCTGTTCATTTCGAAGTTTGGCGTCTACAAAATCCTTCAATCTGTTTAGCAATACCCTGCTGAAGACTTTACCTAATATTGAGAGAAGAGTGATACCTTTCTAGTTATCTCACTTACTGAGATCACTTTTCTTTGGTATCTTGCTCACGTACCCCTTTCTCCAGTCTGTTAATACTTGTTCTTCCTCCCAAATCTTGTTGAAGAGAATGTGGGATACTTTTGCAGTTGCTTTCACGTCTGCTTTCATTTCCTCTGCTGGAATGTTATCTGGACCTGCTGCTTTGTAGCTCTTGATTTATCTGATAACTATACTGATCTCTTCGAATGTTTGTGGTCCAACATATATTGGAAGGTCCGTAGAGGCTGCTCTGATGTTGGATGGGCCATATTAAACTTTTGTGATATTGCCCGTACCACTGTCCAGTGCCTCTGAGGTTTCAGTTTCATTTTGGCCACCAGAAAGTGGTGATCTAAGGCTATATCAGCTCCTCTCTTGGTTCTCACATACTCCAGTGTCCTTCTGAACTTTTTGTTGATACAGATATGGTCAATTTGATTTCGAGTAGTGGGATCCTTTGAAATACTTGTATCTTTGTGAATGCGTTTGTGTGGAAATATTATGCCGCCTGTGACCAGTTTTTTGAAGGCACATAGGTTTGCAAATCTCTCACCATTTACTTTCCTTTCTCCTAGTCTATAGTGTCCCATGATGTTTTCATATCCAGTGTTGTCCATGCCAATCTTGGCATTTAGGTCTCCCATCAGAATGGTCAATCCTTTGATGAGTATCTGTCGATAATTCATTGCAACCTAGCGCAGAACTGATCTCCAACTTCTTCATTGTAGCCGTTGGTAGGTGCGTAGCATTCGATGACGTTCATTGTGATGTCCTCTATATTTGTTTTGAAGGATGATTTGATTATCCTGGGTCCATGAGACTCCCATCCTATTAGTGCCTTTTGTGCATGTTTGGACAGCATCAGTGCAACTCCTTGTGTATGTGAAGCATTTTCCTCTTCATGACCAGATTATAACAGCAGTTCCCCTGAAGCTAGTCTCAGTTGTCCTACCTGTGTCCAATGCGTTACACTGATTCCAACCACATCCAAGTTGTATCTTCTCATTTCCTCTGTGACTTGAAATAGTCTTTTAGTATCCCACAATGTTCGAAAGTTCTATGTACCTACATGAATGGTTGCTCTGGTTGTCAGAAGAGGCAACGGCCTCGTGACTTCCGAGGGAACTCGGCTTTCATCATGAGACGTCATGATTCTTCTTCGAACTCCCAGGGCAGAGTTAAAATGTTTTGAATTTTGTTTTTTTGGTTAGCGTTTTTTATAGAGTTGGTTTTTTACGGAATAGGGTCTCCAGCCCCATGCTCAACCCTTCTGGCTTGAGACCAACAGTAGCTCCAGAGGGGCTTCAGGCAGAGTTGTTCTTAAGTATCATTAGGCTGCAGTTGAACTGTCACTAAAAGATAAAAACAAATTTACCTATACAAGCACCGGTATTTCCTAACAGATATCGTCTTACTGTAAGTCACACTTTAGTAAATGTGCTGAATTTTCAAAAAAAACATGGTTATATAGTGTTAACGATTTATTAAATCAACTTCCTGGTATCATTGATTCTTCTAGTATCATTTGAAAAGGACGTATTAACATAAATAAATTTAGAAACAACTCATTAGTATATACATATATATATTTCATGTATGTTTACTCACATGATCAATAGCATCGGAATTATTTTTAGGATTTTCGTCATAAAATCAAAACACACAATTTCTCAATATGTTTATAAACAAAAATAATGTTGTTGGAACTCCTCACTTAACTGGAAGCTAATTGAATTGACATTTGTTTGGTAAGAAACTTAAACGTTTATTTTTAGTAATTTAAACCGATACCTGTAAAAATGTTCAAATATTATACTTTATATTGTAAACTAAATATCTAATACGTAAAAGTGGATGGAGCAATTTTTAAACATATGTTACTACTATTACTGGTAAATATTCATTTTATCGACATACTGCACTATCTTGACTAATTTTCATTCGGTATAGAAACAGACTGAAACAAGTTAGGTGGCAGCTTATTTAATATGAGAGATTGACCTAAGTGAGTTCGAATCCGTAGAATGTTTAAACTACTTTATGGTTCCAGATATACTGTAAAGAATAAAATGTATTTTAGGGAGTTCTAACTGATTCACTTTAAATGCCCAAGACATTTTATTGAGTTATCCAACAGTGCAACCGACATTTTAATGTTGCAGATTAAATCATTAAACTTCAACTAGTGTTTTGTTATTGATACTAAGAACTATTTGTCTACTGAGAAGAAACTACTCGTATGTAATCTTACTTTATTAGTCACTTCTGAGCCGTAGCTGCGTGCGGCCTTGGCTATTATTCTTTTAGTGCCTTTGTCAACCAACTGCAATAACGAATGTTTTCGAGTTTCTTCAGAAACACTGGCACCTATGAAAGATGATTAGATTAAAAACAATAGTGATAATAAAATTCTTATATTAAATTAGTTTGTCTTATTATTCAATAAAATCATAGTTTACATATATATACAATTAGTTATAAAGATATCAAATGTCATCTGTTTATCAATAATGATTTCTAGGACAAAACACAGTGAACGTTTTGAAGTTGTTCGGGTGAAATCCTATTCTATTCACTGTTCACCTTCGTTTTAAGATATGGCTTGAAAAAAGAAACGATTATCATCGTTTCATAACTTATTCTTTGAATAACAACAGTTGATATTTTTTAAAAATTACATAAAAATTGATTTTAGTTTAGAAGAGAAAATTGTATTAACTGAACGATCAGTAAAGTTAACAACTGAAGAGTGATAATAAATTTTTATATTATTATAATGTACTTGATAAAAGCTTATGTTTGTTCGCTTTATTCCTCAAGAAAGTAACCAACAGCTTTCTTGTAATTGATTAGAAAAATGTCTTTCTACTCAAATATTCCATGAACCTTTAAGTATAAATAAGTTTATTATATTTAGGAATTGATGCCTGATTATGGCTGTTGCAAAGTAAGTGCTATTATCTGATAATCACCACCTTCCTTGTGGTTTGAGATGGTCTAAAGATGCAAGCTCTAAGTGTTTTAAGACTGGATCAAAGTAGCGTTTCAATGAACTGATGAGTCAAGTTAAGGCCATTAAACTTTTAAAATCAGTCGTTTTCAGTTATGATTAGTAAATTATCTAGTGTTATCATTGATCCTAATCTCTTTTCCGACATAGTTGTTTTATCACAAAAAATTACCAGTTCGTAATATTCTGGTTATAGATTCATATTAAACTACAAATAATTAAAATCAAGCTGTTTAAGAGATAATTCTTAAAAAAATTCTTATTTCGAAATAGAATTATATTATGTTTAAAAGAGAAATGTAACTGTAGGAAATAGATATATGAATGAAATGTTAAATGGTTAAAACAAATGCTTACAAATCTCTTTCCATCGTTTAGCTTCATTCACTTCATAGGCTAATCGATCAAAATTATTGAACATCTGCATAGTTGCTACGCAATCTGGATGATTTATTGGTGTTACCTAAGTGATAAATGAAAAACAGTTGTATATATTAGTTCCCCAAGTGATGTCATGTTTATGATGATTACTTATCTGTTGTACAAATATTTTTACACAACCGCAGCATCAAGTAAAAACCGATAACTTCAAAATGCTTTTACCGAGATCCTCGTACAGAACGGTGACTCATAAAGCTAGTTAGTTTGGTACTGAAACATTCATTTGCACTAACTTTTAAGTGAGGACTAACCTCTTCTACCATTATTAAAAATTGTACACCATAAATAATTTGTCTGCTCATAATCTACTTTAAATCTTAAATGCTGTATTCTAATTCAAGTTATTAGCATTTAATACACAACAGTTAATTACTAATACATCGCACCTGCGTTTACTTATAAACCTATAAACCTAAAGTATTTGAAGGGAAACAGTAAAGGCTAAGAATTATAAACGATAAATAGTATTATCGGAATAGGTGAAGTGTAGCATAAACTGTGTACATATTTTAAATGATTCGCTCCGAAAATCTCCATTTTAATATACAAACCATCAACAAGTATAAAGCCATTGTTATTTCTATAGGCAAATATAACAATCGATCACAAACTTCATGCATGTATAAAATTGATTTGATGTTAATAATGAATTATGTGAAAGCCAGATTTACATTTAATTAAGCTACAATTTTATCACATGTAAGTTTTACTTTTCAGCCTAAAAAGTGAAGAAATAATAGTAACTCGAAACTTTCCTGGCATTTTGTCCCTTATGATTTATTTTCAGTGTTCTAACGTTCATTAAATTTTGGTTGCTAGTAGTTTCAGTAAATGTAAAATAACTTGCAGATAATCAAGGTAAGTTTGTGCAAATAAATAGGCGGCCTGTTTGAATATTTCAATAAATTACCTTTTTCTGTTTGTTTTAACTCGTCTATTATGTCCGTTAATCGCATAACCACAAGTTTGCGGTTGCTAATGCGTATCTAGAAATATTTTAGTAATGACAAAGGCGTTGGCGGCTATTTAGCATCAAAATTTGATACTTGATTTTATGCTGAAAAAAATGCTTTTGACACTAGTAACTTCCACAGAATAGACGAGATTTTAGAAAATGAAGAATAGCATAAAAGGAGGGTAAATGTCATTAATTTCGTGGGTAAATAAGGTCACTGAGATATTCAATGAAGAAACGTTTGATTTTATGATGCAACAACCAGACTTACGCTCAATATATACTGACATAAACATACAAACTAATAGCAAATTTCAAAGGAACAATACCGACAATTTCTATCCTTTCGTAGTCTCGTTTTATGCGTCAAAATTTAACATAAAAGACAGAAATTCATCTAAAATATTTATGAAGGGTATTTATTTTATAGGCAAAAATTAAAAACAGCGAATCACTTCATTCAGTTAAAAATACTTTTGTATAGGCATCTAATTTATTCATGAAATATTTTACTTAAAAATAAATACATGTTCATTTATAAAATAATAGTTTTCGGCTGCTTTCAACCAATATTACTTTAAGATAGATAATTAAATAATTGTATTCAATATTTTAAAAGAAAAAAATCTTTTTAAAAGACAAAATTATTACCTGCTGAAAATTAAGGCAGAGAATTGAATTACTACAAATAGTTTTTTTGGTTTTGCTAGTTTGAATAATAATAGTAATAATAGTAGTAAAAGTAATAATAGCAATAATAATAATGAATTGTTTATAAACTTCAATCAAACAAGATGAACAAGAATTGATCATTGCATATAATATAAACTTCTTAACTAAATATTTGTTTTCATCTACCTACTCACATCTTTCAATAATTCAAATAGTTGTTTCAATTTAACTAATCGTTGGACTGGTTTAATTAATTCGTCATTCAAAGTTAATATGTTTGGGCGTTCATTTTGTAGATTTTTGAAACCCAGCATTGAAAATGTTTGAATTTCTGGATTCTAAATAAAACAGATAAACAAGGCGAATCAAATACAAAGACAAAATCATTGTACTGATGTACTGTCATTTAATAGATATATTACAGTCTGTTCTCAGATGAACAAACAGAAATATGTGCAACTTGAAATGTTATTAAATTCCTTTTGGCATACTATGCTCAATTACTTCAATACCATTTGGAAGTAATCCAGGGAACTTTAAAACCTGTCCACATTCATTTTTGTGTTACTTATACACTTACACTATGATAACCAGCTTTTGTTCTGAATAGTTGATAAATATTAGATGCATTTAACTGTGTTCTCTTCTAAAAGGTTATCTGCAAATATCGATTTGTGAAAACGATAAATAATATGTAACATAAAGAAGTGTATGAAATGCTGTTGTTTTGAAGCTTTACACTGAGAAATGGAGACAGACATGAGAAGAATGAACAAAAATTGAACGCAACCAGATAGGAAGGTTAAGGACTGAGTAGGTTGGCGAATACTAGTCATTGGCCTTTGTTCCATTGGAGGTCAGCTGTGTCTGTCAATCTATCATCCAAAATATGGTTAATGGTATGAATCGTTACTCTCGTAGAAGGTTATAACATTAATGAATTAGTACATAATATATTCGAAAAAATCATGTAATGTGGACTGTGAATACTGAATAAAGTTTTTGGGGGTTTCTGTCAAATGAATAATCTGATCTACTAATAGCCGTATTTCTCGTTAAATTTTCTAGTGTGTGAAGGATTGCATTTTTAATCTATTTAAAAGACTGATAATAAGAACAAAAGTTATTTCCTACTATATCGATCAGTCATTAACGGAAATTAACTAACCTTTGTACAAGCATCTACTGAGAAATTTAAGATGTATGTTTTCAATGCTTCATTTATAGACTTTCTGAAGGGATTTAGACATGTCGCTATTTTAAAAAATAAAATATAGAAATAGTATCCATAACCATATACACAAAAAGGCAATCAACTATCTTAGTTAATTATTTACCGCATTCAGTACTACGTCATCACAGTTTGTGTAATGAAGTTAGTGCCGCAAAAAACCCAGTTATTTCTCCCACTGTGATTTAACTGAACACTATTCTCCTACAAATTTTTATTAAAGTTATCGCAAAGCTGTATGCAAAGTATTGTTTTATAATAAACTCAACAAATGGATGTAAACTTCACACATAGTATCAGTCGATGCTAGTTATCCTAAAAATCTTAACTCCAGTAATGAAGATGTAATATGTTTGAATCTGCATATCCCTCCATCCGTGTCCCAGTTAATTTCCAGACTTCAAAAAGACAGTCATCAACATTAATTCTTTTAGTGAAATCATAAACTGATTATTGGTAAACCACCAGTGTGAACTTAGAAGCACAGAATGACTGTTTCTTCCTTGTATGGGACTCACCGGCAGTGTACATAAACGAACCTGATAGCTGAAATCGAACCCAAGACCTTCGGCCTGACCAGCGAACACTTAACTTATAGACCATTGAGCAGGCATCTAACGGTGTAAATGTTTAACTTCATTCAATCCGCGATAATACGCGACCATCATCTTTAGTCTTTCCTGAGTAACTGCATCATAAGTAACAAGACTGGGTTCTACCGGTCACGGCTTCTCACTAGAACTCCGAGAATTTCCTCACGAAGCTCATCGCTAATGAGTGCATGATAACTGTCAGTATGGGAATGTGGACTTCGTTGAGTTTCATTGAAACTTATTTATTAATATCTTGGTTGTTCTGCTTGATTCGCAAGCAAATTTTACACAATACGAGATTATCCCATTACTTATTACTTTAACTATTAGTATACATACGATAGTAAGTCAGATATATATATATATATATATATTACCTGTAAATGGACTTTAGATAATTACCAAGCGAATAGTGTCTAGAACGATTTCTTTATGTATTTCGGAGTTGAATGAAAGCAGTAGAATTCACCACTTTTCACCCTAAACAGCACAAACAATTTCCACTGAAATAATGTTTAGCTTTGCTAGTAAAAATGCATAAAAATAATTCTATTTGGTTTTCTTTCTATACCTGTTGTCAACATAGTCACAAGATTAATTTCAACATCATATAGCAGATTAACAAAAATAAAACAATTGATTGTACATTTATCTGCCTTCTGTGCAATTTTCATGATTACTGTAAAAGTAAAATCTAAAAGGCATTAATTTGACAGTGTCTAAATTGTCTAATGTATTGGAAAATTAAAACTAAGCATTCACATATTTTGAAAGAACATATTTAAATGGTGTATTTTTAAAAAGATGTGTAAAAAAGATATATATATATATATATATATATATATATATACTAATTAAAATCTTACCTATGCAAGCATTACCAAGTTGATGATCAGAATATACAGATACTTCTTTTTGAAATTCCATTGACATATCGTCAGAAACACGTGTTAATTGATCCAAATTTCCCAACAATGAATATCGATTGGATTCATTAACCTGATTTTATATACATGTACACTGAAGAGGTAAATCACCATTTTGATCAGTGGAAATTCATTGTATTGATGCTTAAATAGCGAGGGGGGGGGGAACAGAATCAATTTGTTCCATAAATTACCATGAACGTATTCTAGATAGATGTTTATGCTTATACTTGTATGCTTTCGGATTTTTTTTTACTTGGAATTCAGTAATTTAGAGCTTCAATAAAATGTTCACATTACTGATTTTGTTCTCATTTATTCTATATGGTTAATGATGGCTCAAATATTTTTGTGAAATCAATATGGTAAACTGTTGGCGTATTCACTTCAATATCAAAATGCAAATAAGGTATATAGTTCATGTAATTAATACCTCTGTGGAGTACTACGTACAGCATAGCTTTCAAGTAGTATGCACAGGGTGTGCAGCAGTGTTGCGCTGAAGTTACATCCGAAGCAAAGAGATTCAGATCTTAATTTATGGTACTATCTGGGTGTTTGAGGAATGGAAGACATGTGGAAGTAGACAGTCGAGAATTGTGTATTCTACAAATTTATTTTTTTACTATTAGGTGTACATTTTCGACCAGTAGATTGTCTGTTCGATAACTAATTCGCCTAACCGATTTGACCTTTCTTCTTCGCTTTACTTCCACTTCGGTACTTAGACATACTTATAGACACGCGTATTACCAATCGTCATGGAAGTTTAACGCACGAACGTCTAGTGATGGGTTGCTGTTTCTGAAATCTAGAAGATGAGAAGCGAATATACTGCACTTCAACAGCGTTAGCGGTACAAAAAATTCCAAACCAGTAGTTCACATGCAATCTAGTCTTTTCCTGGTCACTGGCTACCATGAGACTGTATTTTTTAATATTGCCCCACTGACTTGTGGATTAGGCCTTTGAGTCAAAGGCTTGCGAGAACCACCTGCTTTGGTTTGTCGACCTGGACATTACCTTATCCCACACACAAATTCTACGATTTAAGTAGCTCATAAATATTCAGGTGCGTTTAAATAAATAAATAATAAAATAAAACTCATAACTGATAATGTTACTTTGGTTTATGATACTCTAATAGAAGAGATTGAAAAGTAGTAAGTAACTAAAACGTAACTCTTTCTCAGACTATTTATAAGATGAATCGAACTAGTTTCTGCATACTTGTATGATTTTCCGCAGTTTTTCATGTGCAGACGAAATTATTGCTAGCAAGTGTGAGTATATTACTTAACTATCATTCATATAAAAGAATATATATCATTATTCACTATTGCTTTCAGTGTCGAAACAGTTATATGAGTATTAATACCAGCTGTTTTGTTTTTAAAATAATGTGGAGCCTAATTAAACATAATTTTTCTAACCATCTGTAAGTATAATGTCCAGAACACTGAAATGAAATCAAGCTATTAGAGATGTGTTTTTAATATTTACTCTGTATAATAAACGTTGATAAAATTTTTAATTTCAATCTTCAAAATATCATGAATAAAAATGCACATAAAATCAGTTTTTTATTACCTTCAAACTAACAGAATCAAATGCAGTCAAGATATTTCTCATATCTGATGCGAAATCCGCTTGAGTTTTGACTAATTCTTTCACAACATGTTTTCTTTGATTAAATGATGTTGATGTTGATGATGATGATGATGTTGAAGCTGGCACAGATTCTATTACCGATATTGATGAAGGTGACGAAATAGATGAATGTGATTTTCTAGATTTACAACTGACATCATCTTCAATATCTGAGGTCTCTTCAGATAAATTAAACCCATAACTTAAATTGTAGCTTCTCACTGGTCTACGATAACCAGTATTGTCAGAATATATACGCACAATTTTTTTATTATCCATTGCAATTGTTGGCAATGTTACACAAAATGAATTCGTTTTCTTTGACAGGTCTATATAAAATGATCGAATTTAATTATTTTATCAATGAAAATAAAAATTCATCATAGTAACTAATAATGCAATTTTGAAACCAAAACTTGAGACAAATAAGCTAAACGCACATGAAATCTGTCACACGTTTCGATGTAAGCAAAATTAAATATATTCTCTAGTTATTGTGTCTATTTATAATTGTATATTTGCAACTAATGAATAAATTTTCACAAGAAAATATAATTATTTCCAGCAAAATCTTTCCATTGCATATATTAATGACAATACTAGATGATAAGATCGGTTAAATATTTATTTTAATAATATGTAATCTAAATCGATAATAATTTACCTTGTTAATTGGCTAATAAATAAAATAGTGTTGGGGAAGTTAGATCACCAGAACTCACTTGAAAAAGGTCCTAATTTTGGATTTCTGTGCTTTTGCTCATGGGCTGTTCAGCTGACCTTGAGATTACATTTCCAACTCGGAAAATCCTTGACCGTCATTGGCTGACGTGTTATTCTAGTAAGCTATTTTTGTGACCCTGTTAAGGACGTTTCTGTCAGGTATAAAGAAACTCGATTTGTGTGCTTGTGAACCTCCTATTTTCTGGGTGCTTGTAGAATAAATTTGCTAAGCCTTATCATGAATTCCTGATATAGTTAGCAGGGCCTAGGGCAACAGATTATAATAGCCTATCGTGTCACTGCATCATTTGTCTTCGCTCTCGTTCCCGAGTAAGGTGAACTCATAATAGCTTCAAGCATGTCAGCTGATGAGCATATCAAATAGAAATAGCAAATTTCATACAAAATAGGTTTTTATTACTAGATAGTCAGAAACGTACGGTAGATGAACGCTAATCATTACAAAAGCTAGATCAAGAGATATCTTATAGCTATCGTCTACTGAGAAAAATATTTTGGCCAACCACTGTTCATTTCCTTTATGCAACTATTAAGTCTAGGGTTTTTGATGGAAGCATTCATAAAAGAGAATACTTATTTAAAACAATTAGTTCGTTTTATATATGTCAACATAAGTGAGATAGAATAGATTTGAATTACATAATGCTTCTATGCCTTGCAGTTAGAAAAAATCTGGTCATGTATGTTCTTCTGAAGGCATTTTGTATGAAAATTCACAAAAGTTATTTGAATGAAAGTTCAAATGCATAAAACGATCATTTTCGCAATTAAACTTTTAAATTTACCTTGACTAAATCAACAGTGAAAACATGGAATCAGTGGACGGCAATAATTTTAAATATAGGGGATAAAAAATCAATATTAAAAGAAGAAATTATTTCACTACCTCAGACCATAAGATGGTTTTAAGATTATCAGGCTAAATACAGGTTTGCGGTAACTTGTTTCTGTATATATAAATGAGCATTGAATTCGCGAACAGTCAAGACTTCTACAAACTTAAGAATTTGCCCTGGAAAATCTATGCACTCCACCAGGAGCCTCTCTAGCTTTACGGTCGGTCCCAAGCCCAGAAGAAATGGTACGGTTGGGAATGGATTTATCAAATTTGTCCCTAAGAAAAACAAACGCTAACCATGCAAAATAACTCACACTCTAACCTGGCAGTTGGAAGGTCTTCATTAATAAGAGTTACTGACCCCTGATGGTGAAAGTCGAGTTTCTTCGTAAACCACAGAACCGATGACAAATCCTACTACCAGAGCGAAAATTAATTTAGGTACATGGAATGTTCGCACAATGTAGAAGAGCGGCAGAACTATTTACGTTACTTAGGAAATACGAAGATATAACCTGGTCGTGCTTCAAATAAGTCAAAACCATTGGACGCATGGTAGACAAAAAAGATTAGCTTCAGGAAAGATGCTACTGAACTCTGGAAATAAAGACATCGTGTGGCGACCAAGACTGGGAGAATGGAACAAAAGATTTGCAAATTCACATGCCTTCAATAAAATGACTAAATATGTCACCATATTTTCACACAAACGCATATATAAAGCTACATGAGTTGCACCGGACCACACTACAGTAAACCAGTCCTAGCACATCTGTACCAATGGAACTTCGAAATGTCCAAAGAAAACTTGAGAAGGAAGTGAGGAGCTGACATAAGTAAAAATCCTCATTCGGTGTTGGCTAAGATAAAAATTGAAGCTATAAAAGCACTGGACAAGTAAGCATACGGTACTATAAAATTTTTATATGGTCTTTCTTTGATATACTGGGAAACTGAACAAATTCAAGGTATCTCTAAGTAATAATTTCAGGGCCTTTCACGTTCTACTCATAAAATACGAATCTACAGTAAACAAAGCCTTGAGTGCAGTTAAAGAATCATGAATTTCAGAATTTCATGAACTTTTGGGTCACCAGAAGCGATATCATAAGAAATGAATCTCTGTTAATACTCTGGATCGAATTCAAAAAATGGAAGAACTAAAAATCAGCAATCAGTGTCAGCCGAACAAGAACAGAGAAGGCCGAGGTACAGGTCGAATAACCAGAAGCTAATGAGCAAGTGAAAAGAGGAATTAAAGCTGATAAGCGAAGATATTTAAAAGACCTGAAATGCAAGAAGCTAACAGAAGCAGCAAGTACAGATAACATGCCAGCTGAGACATTTAAAGGAGACACAACAGTAACCGAGAAAATGCTTTATACTGTCTTCGACAAGATCTGAAATGAAGAACAAGTACCAACATAATGGAAAGGATATCTCATCAAGATACTACAGAAAGTAGATCTTAAAAATTAGTAGAACTACAGAAGCATCATTTTGCTATCGATACCCTGAGGAGTTCATTAAGACACCGCTGAGCCAAATGAAAGATTCAGTAAATGCTTAACTTTAAGATTAGCAGGACTGATAGTGTACTGACCAAATAACGAAACCGTGAATAATTGTGAAATAATCAAATGAACAGAACTCAGAACTGTACATCAACTTTATCCACTAAGAGAAGGCATTTTAAAGCGTGAACAGGATGACACTATGGCTATCTCTTAGGCACTGCCTTGTACCTGGGAAGAAAATCGACATCTAACAGAATACTTTTGATGGATTAGATTTCAAGATCGAGCATGGAGGACAGCTGACAGACTCGTTCCAAGTGAAGACAGGTATTAGAACAGGTTGCTTACTTACACCCTTTCTCTTTTTTTTGGTGGTCGACCAAATTATCAAAGCCTCAACATCTGATATCAGAGGAAGCACAGAATGCCACGGGAGAGCTATAATGCAGATAGAGAATTTAGGCTTCGCAGATGATCTAGCTCTAATATCCTACAACACAGCATACATCATTTAAACGACACTTGATGGAACAGGAAATGCAAATCTTTACATATCTGGGCAGTACAAACAAGCTGTATTTGATGCAAATGTAAAGGTGCGGATGGGTAAAACAAGGTCAGCATTCCTGTAATTGAAGAACATTTGGAACTCAAAACTAACTTTCATCCGAAACAGAAATCAGGAAAATACGTTGAAAGTGGACAGGACTCATATGGAAGAAATCAGTCAACTTCATCACAATGACTCGCAATCGTCAAGGCTGAAGGTAGTGAGGCAGATTGATAGTCACATTGTGTCGGGAATCGAAATTAGACATCAAAAAGATCAGTATAACTTGGAAACAACAGGAAAAGAGAGCCTAGTAAGTGGTAGGTCGGAGAACACGCGTCGGTGACATTTGCCTCACTGTGGGTACCAGGCGTACTTAAGTAAGCAACTGACGTCGATTCTACCCCATCATTTCAGATGTGTTTCGCCCTCAGAGAACAAACCTTTTCACTTTCCATGTTTATCAGAGCCTTTTATACGAAATGTTTTTGAAACCATCTAGGCACATGTTCCATAACCTTTGATTCAATTGTTAGATTTCTCCTCCATTTGTCTGTGTGTTCCTACAACAGTGTTAACTGGTGAATGATATGGAACATGCTATGTTTAGGCTTATGTGCTTTATAATTGCAATCATTTTAATAGCATAATATTCTCTTTTCTTGCTTTTAGTCTCTGTCTGAAGGGCATACTGTTCGATTTTCCTCTATGTGTTAAAGAGATGCAAACTTTTCTGTTCACCCCAAAATCGAAGAGAGGTTTTATTAGTAACTGGCTTTATACATATTTATAAAGTTTGGCAGGCATCAATGTTTAAATCAGCATTTTCTAGACTTGCTCAAAATTATATGTAGTGCACACTGCTTGAGTCCGTATCCAGAGACATTTTACGAAGCCTCATTTGTATTACAATGTAAAGATACCGTGGAATTTTTGTTTATTGAACATTTCAGAATAGTGTTCTAAAGAGTGAGTGCCTTATGATCTCATCATCTCTCCGGTTCAAATTTAAATCTAAAAATGACGACCAGTTATTTTTTCTTATAGGTAAATACGATATCATTCTGTAGGTTATTGATAAACTTCAGTTACATAACAGTCAGCTGTGATGTTTAGCCAATTATAATAATTGTGTCATTGTTATCTTTTAGTGTTTGGAATATAATTCATTCAAATGGTACACCTAAAAGGTTAAACGAATGTGCCTTTAAACTTCAGGAATGAAATAGGTTGTATGTTAAGAAAATGATATGCTGATATCACTTCGTTGATTAGTGAAGTAAGTTTTTTTTATTTTTAACTGCTTTGCAGTGATCATTTTTGTTGAAAGTAAATAATTTATTTACTCTTTGAATGAACGGCTTACACAAAGTCTACACTATATTTTTATCTCATTACTACATGAACATTTCGGCTCAATCCTGTGGTGTAACATTAAAGAATAGAGCAGTTATAAATTATCATGCAACAGAAGAGTTTGAATTACAAATGTCTTTAGATTAATGCTCTTGAAACTAGTTATAGTCTAGAAAAACCTAGGTTTAAATCTAATAAAACAGTCAAATTATGTCAAAATTTAGAATCCGATTATTAGTCGTAAATAGTTAAAATAAATGAAGCATTTGGCAGTATGCATATATCATTCTGGAATGATCTTACTAAGGATAAACAAAACAATGTAACATATTGATTACTATTACAATTATTACATCAAAGTACTTCCTATGTTGATATACAATCTCGAATAACTGCTAAAAATCTTATCTGTAATGTAAACAGTCCCAATCGCTTATTGAGCCATTAATTACAGGTAAATTATAGTGAAATTAGCTAGCTGAATTATTTACTTAACATATAGTGTTAAATTGCAAAGACAGAAACTTTATAAGTTATCTTTATCAAAATTTGTAAAAATGTTTTGTAACCACTCACTAATCTCATTCTGAATTGGTTCTAGCGAAATTCGATTATATTTCTACAATGTATAAAAGATGTTTTTAGACTAAGGTTTGAAGACTAATGTATTGCCTGATCATAACAGATTATGAAACTAAAAATATGTGCACAAAATTTACTTGCGAACAAAATATTTAATGTTGGGATATACTTCTCACCATATTCTGTGAAATAAAAAAGGAAATACTAACTCAGTTCTACAGTGACAGATTTTTCTATACAATCATTATAGAGTGAGAAACATCGGTCTACTTCATGCTGATTCATGTACATAAGCTGATTCTCTAAATTAAGTTGATGTAGCCTAATAATGCCGCTTCAACAAGCACCGTAACATCAAAATAAAGTTTTTTCAATGTTTGTTTGACAATATACATAGAACAATATATCTATTGCATACACTCCTGGCGTGAGAAAATCTTATTTCAGAGTGGACAATAATTATTCCATATTTACAATTGCAAATGGTTAATACTACAAATACGACAAGCTGAATGATATGCATTTTCACTAAAATTTGTGACTGCTCACTAAAATTTATGTGGTATGAAATATAAAGTATAACTTAATACTTCAAATATCATTAAATATACTTACTGATTAATTGAGGAAAATGTACTGATTATGCTACATGTTTCCTTATATTCAAAAATGTATATTTTAATATTTGAAATCCATATAGTAGAAAGTAGATTGCGTGCTGTCTTTTCACTGATTGGTTATTGTTTTTGAATGTCTGTAAATGTATTGGTTATTCGGTATATGTCTATATATTTTATCGCACCTACTTAGTAACAGTTCGATTTTAATTTATTTTTCTATGTAATTAGTTAGTGTGACCTTTATTCTCGTAGTCTACAATGTATCAGTATTGATAGATCTACTTTCAATATTTAGAAATTTAACAAAATTAATGCAAATGCCTAACATCTAGTCTACTCCAAAAGTTTATCAACCAGCCTTGATATGTAAATAGAGTGACAATGATTAAAAGGACACTTATTTTAGTGCCCATCACTCTCTGTTCGAAGAAATTATAAAATTTATTATGGATTATAACTTTATTTATAAAATATTGTCATGTGTCTTTTCAGTTACAAATACAGAAAACATGACTAAGTATGCAAACAAGTGGAAGAGGTTTATTTTCAAGGTTAGGCAGTTAGTATTGTGGTAATTTTTTTTTACCATGAAATCCATCAGGAATTAATAAATTATTTTGAATTCTTGGATTAAATTTTATAAGATGGACCGGGGCTAGCAGTGGAATTCAGGACATCAATTTCATCTTATATAGGACTGATAAACTAGATAAACATAAATCCTAGTGTTGATATTCATAGTGGGATCTTTAGATAGTGTCTATCACCCAACAAGCTATCAACTGAGCTATTGAGTTTAGGTAATTACTAACCCATTCAACCAGTATGATATTTAAGCCTTAAGAATGAATTTTCTGATTGTTTACAATCAGGACTAAGATTTGTTCTGTCTTTGCTTGAATACGTGAATTGAGGTCTGATTTTCTTCAAATTGTACTTGGGTATAAGTTTTAGTAAAGTTTAGGCGTAGCTAGCACTGGCATGCAGGACACTTGTATATGCTGCTTGTCAATAGAGAAACCCAAACCATTACATGTGCATGACTTAGAAACTATCGAACAAGCTAGTGGGTATCTGAACTCAAATAATTTAATAGATAACGCGTTGGGAGATAACGTAATATCTCAAAATGAATATCAAAATTGAAATGCATGTTCATCTAGATGATGAATCCTAAGTATGACGAAATGAGTATCCAGTCAGATTTTAACTTTGAAGTAGTATTTGACAGCACTAAAAAATACATTATGATATTCAGCGAAACATTTTCTTAACTTTTAAGTGAGGAGTAAACACAAATCAATTAACATCTCGTTCATTTAATTTGTATCTGATAACATAACTAGTCTGTTTACAGATGATTATTTCATCATTATTAATTTTATTGATATCATTCGAAAAGATTTAAAGTGTTTAATATAAATACTCAGTTGCTACAGTGAAGCTAAGGTACAAAAGAAAATTCTTTTGGCCAGCAATGTTTAGTATTTTTTGACCATTTTTATTGTATATTCTCAAAAAATATGGAAATTTTAACGAACAGGATTTTACTAGAGTTTCAAAAGGCATTGTTAAAGAATATTAATTATTTCTTAAATTTTTTATTTGATTAGGTAAGAAAACACTGCAACTATTTTTCGAAATATTTCACAGCAACTAAACATGAATGTGATGTTTAGATTTCAGTAGTTATCGGTTCTACGTAATACGTCAAAATTATGATATCATTAGAAAGCAATATTTGTGATTTCCGTGTTATTAGTTCTGACTACTTCGAAATATTCTAACCACTTAAATTAATCGTCCAGTAAGTTGACACAAACTAAGTGATTGCATTCTTTAATTGCTTATGAATAAGATTTAATTGAAGAAGATAGATTAACTTCGAAAAACGCATCTGTTCGAAGTCACAATGGATTTCTTTTGTTAACTTGAAAGTATATTTAGTTTGAGAAGCAAGCAGTTGATATTATTTTTTCCGCAATGCTGACAAGTCCCACACCAGGACGAAACGGCCGTCCAGTGCTTCCAGGTTTCTAATGGTGATCTAACAATGATTGATTGATGATTCCAAATGTGTAAAAAAACACTAATCTCCATAACTCTAATTAAAAATATCTAATTGACAAACTTTTTACCGAGTGTCAATATGATGAAAATATCTTTTATAAAAACGTTGTTACAATTCTTAACAGAAAATATAACTGGTTGGTCATATTAAAATTCTAACAATCGATTTTTGTTGAATAATCAATAAGATTATATAAGACGGCTTAGTTATGTAAAACTAATTAAATAGTCTGACTCATAACTTGGGATTTTCAAAATCCATCTCACAGAAACTAAGAAAAACACATCTTTTTTCATTGGACTTTGTCTGGTCTCCATAGCTCACTTTTTATTTTATCCAACTCTCTTAATCGTTCTCTGATGATGCTCAGTTTTTCAGCTGTTTGTAGGTACTGACAAACAAAATGATTTACAGTTTGTTCACTGAGATAATATATACTTCGATTAAAATAACTATTTTAACCCATAGAGTTCTTCAAAACCTTCAATGAAGGCCATCAAATATTTGACTGAGTACTTTGATACAGAAAAATTTGAAGACACTGATAAAGAAAATTATACACTAACTTATCATTTATATAATTTCTAAAATTCAACTATTAATTATTTATAATTTTTGTACAATTTTAAGACAGTTTTAATGTGATAACATAAATTGAATTTAACAAGATGCAATTACGATACATTTACATCTTACAGTATGATTAGCAGATTTGACTAATTGATGAGATAAATGAAGACTCACGTGATTGATGCTAACAAAAATAATCTCTCAGTCAACTGCTTTCATATTATACGTGCTTTGACTATCTTATAAATTAACTGTTAACATGCTTAAAACGAAGAAGTGGTCAACTGCAAAATTTTTAATCACAATATGTATAAAAATCGATTTGTGTTTAATTTATTTCATACTAGTATTCCATCATAAGAAGAAAACTAAAGTACAGACATTTTTTTTGCACCGTATAAAAAAGTCACTCACTCGAAATGATAAATATCTTTGTCGTTTTTCAACTGGAATTACTACATATTAGTAAATAGAAAGTTAAAAAAAATGGAAAATTTGATGAAAGAAGATGATCTAAGTCACGAAAACAGTGATTAAAATATATTAACCTATATACATTTGCTTACATAAGTTTTTAGAATTCTCAGACTAAGCGCCTGATCAACATACAATGGATATCAATAATCTTTTTAGTTACTATATTTCGTTCCGATTAGAAAATAATTGAATTATATCAAAATTCAATAATCTTTTTATTTTTATTAAGGCATAATACCATAGTCTATAACTAAAAACAAGTGTTCATTTAAAGATTATTCTCGGATATTATTAGGTTCATGAACGATAAATTCTTTAGTCTTTCAAAAACAGTGAAACACCAGATCATAGTGTATTCGTGAAATGGTTTAATTTTTTTATTTACGATCTGCCACAATAGTAAATTCGATTTGTAGTAATAAGAATTATGTTTTATGCTTTGGAAATTTAATTCATATTGATTTACTTTGGTTAAAAAGGACTTTTAACTAGTAGTAAACTATCACGTGAACACACCTTTTATACTTAATTGTTAAAGTATGCACAACTAATTAATTTTAAATGATCATCTGTGAAAAGTGATTTTTATCATGATTGAAGTAATGTGACTTTCATTTATGTATATAAATTCTTTACGGTGTTTGCAAGTGAACTCACATGTTATTACTATTTGTTCCTTCAGTTAACTGTCTTTTTATCTTTTTCTCTGTCATGATTATTAGTTAAGTAGACAGCTTATTGATTAAACAGTCAGCCTTATTTTTCATTCATAAACATGTAAATAAAATTATTCTTTGCTTTACAATCCATCACTAAAAATAAATTTATCCAGAGAGCTAAAACAAAACAGATTTCATACACAGAATAAAAGTATTCACAGTCAGCAGATCACTACACACAGTGAAGTAATTCAAATATAATTGACTTTGTCATCAACTGTTTTCAGAGTAGTTTTCGACATAATATTGTTTACCGTCTAGTTGGTTTAAATTATTGTACTTGTTTCTGGTATTTTTTTGATCGTGTATGATTTCGTTTACGTCAAACACATAAAATAAGTGCAGCTCTAGCTCATTTTTAATCATTTTTAAATGACATTAGTTCTTAAAAAAAAATCTTCACAGTATTCAGAGTTTTCACAAGAAGAAATGAAGTATAATGTCCTCGATTATTAGTATTTTGTTCAACGGCACAATTTTATTAATGTCATCATTAACAATGAGTAATGAATTTACATGACCAAGATTTTGCATCTTTCAGGAAATATATTTTGATTTAATCAAAAAAGGTAATTAAATAAGCCTAGGAGTCATAAACGTGTGAAAATTCTTGAATGCAGTTCGAAGTAATAATGTCTGCATATTTGCTTACTTTCAATTTACTTTATAACCCTTTAACGTTAGACATTGATACCAGCGCATGTATTGAATGTATTTCACAATCGCAGTTTGAGATTTCTGCTGATACTTCATAACATTTCATTACATTGTAGTGATTTTACTTTTACGAAGAAAAACATGATTGGTTTAATAGCAACGTTCATTATTATAACCAGTTGTACCAGTGAACGTTTTACTGAACATTTGTTCATTCGTACTTTTGTTTTAGGCAATGGCCTTTGTGCTTTTTGCAAAGATACTGACATTAAACTATAGTCTTTGTGCTCGAACATCAACATTGGTGAGCCCGTTTTTTCTCAATAAAATCAATTTTTGGTGAATCTACTATAAATTATCCCATCCCTTTGTTGCTTTATATCTATTGCTATCTGTTGATATATGTAATATTAGCGATAACGTTTCCAAATGGTGGACAATCATAAAAATTCCGATAACATAATGGACATCGAGGTGCTGTTCATCGCTTTACGACAAGTTTTCTTTATCCCTCATGATTCGGAGGTCTGGTTTGCGACCTTAGAAACTCATTCCG